ACTCCGTAACCGTCCAAAATCGGACACATGTTTATATGAACTTTTTTGATCACAAAGACCTAGGAAATCACCTCCTGCAGTTATGCCCTAAAGTCGTGAAGCACCCTGTCTGTACATCCTGATAAGTCTCCAGCCATTAAATTGACACTAAGGATTCAAAATCTGAGTTCTACTACTTGATAGCAACTTCATATTTAAGTAGTCCATATAAATGTTCGTGTCACATTATATGCAATTAAGATCGAATGATATATTCCTTTTTACTTCAAGGTTATAAGCCAATTAGCCTGTTTCGACTTCAAGAGAACCTATTATCCCATCTAGCTACGGGTAAAAGGTAAAGTTATCCTTGTAACAGGTCGTGAAGGCCCATAGGGTCGTAGGACGTCGAGGTTCCCGCAGTTTCTAGACAATCGGCTCACAGATGGCAGCGAGGTTTTCAGCCTTACGCGCCGGCCGCGCTTTACCCCCAGGAAGATTCCCGGTACTCATTTCTGTTAGAGGCTGAGTCAACTCCAGGGCCATAGTGTGGCTGGAAGGATTAGGTTAATTGAAAAAAAATCCAACTTATCGGGATTCAATCCCACGACCTTCCAGCTTGTACCATAGTGCCTCAACCAGCTATGCTACTGCGTGCCCAGATGCCTAGTGGTTAACACACAAGTTCACTCTGATATATTGGGTTTTTGGACTTTATCCATCGTCCTGGTTTTTAAGATAACTAATAAAAACACGAAGTTTCGGAAACTGGATCTGTTTCCAGTGATTGAGGCTAGCTCTTTCTATCGGACCCAACAGAATATGTACTTTTACTTCACATGAGGACGGAAACAGATCCAGTTTCCGAAACGTCGTGTTTTTATTAGTTATCTTAAAAACCAGGACGATGGATAAAGTCCAAAAACCCAATATATCAGTTTGTTATACACCATCGTCAGAATCCTATAGTAACTACACAAGTTCACTGTTTGATCTCCATCATTCCCCTAGTATTAAAAACAAGAATATGTGAATACAATAACAACCAATCAAATTAAAGGTGAGAGAAGGGTTAATGTCTAAAATACAATATAAATTAAATATATCTCAAGGAATGGGAAATATCCAGCTCCCATGTAAATAATCAACAGTCATAACCAGAGCCCGGATTTTGATGAGACTTCATCTTTTTTTCCTTGTATCCTATGTGATGCTCTTAAATATTCAAATCTCGGATATGAGCTGCTGGTTACAGAAATGTAAATTTTATAGGTAATTTTGTCATTTTTTTCATTTTGGGGGTAATTTTTTGGACTTTTAAGAGTATTTCTTGTCACTTTTGGCCATTTTAGGGAATTTTTCTTCATATGTTTTCTGAAATGTGAATAATATGGAAGCGAAGTGTTCTTTCATTTCTCCTTTAGGTCATTTTTCTTGATTTTTCGGTTATTTTTTTTAAATATTTTCAGGTCATCAAAATCCGGGCCCCGGTCATAATACACCTTTAGAGAATAAGACAAAAAGGAATTGAAAAACTCTTGAATCTGAATGTCCTTTCATTTTAATACTAGACAGCTACACAGCAAGGAGCACATTCGCATACAATTACTCATCCCATTTCTACATTAACCACTGTCCACTATTACAAAACATTAACATACCACATAAATGCAAAGGATGTACCTTAAGCGAATGGAGTAGTGAAGGCCAGTCTTCAGGTAAGCTCATGAGTAATAATATCCACTGGAATGTTATGTCATGTAATATGGTAGAAGCTAAACAATATTCGGTCCTGAAGATGGAGGCAGTAAATTTCTCCAAAATGTCTGTGAACTTCAACTGGACTATATGATAGCATATCCCAAGAGACAGTATCTTTCACAGCCTTTGCTGTGAATACCTCAAATCCAGCATGTAACTTCATGCTTAAGGTAAAAAGGTAAAGTTGTCGCTGTGCTTAACTAAGCACTACACCATGAAGACGTATGGGGAAGCAGATGCATAGATCCATGCTTTCTTGACCACAGCGCTAGTTGGAGGTGAGTGGTCAACTTCAAGCTCCAGCCGCTTTACCCCCGGTACCCACTGGATAATTTCATGCTTAACAAAACATAATTCTATTACCATAATTCTGCTTTTGACTTAAATTTACATAAAATCTTTCAACAGTACAAAAGAATTCCTAAATGATGCAGAATTAAACTGCTGATCCACAAATAATTAAAGCTCTTATCTACTAAATTCGTAAGTCATAATCAATAGTTCAGAAATGTATAACTTTGTAATGATGTACTTAAAAGTTCTTCTATAAAATTATTCTGTGCCTCTGTTCTTTAGAGATCTATATACTTCCAGACATATGCATAGTGCAGACCAATCAGGGGACCAAGTTACACCAGCTGCCTCCTAGTGGCACTTCATGGAAGCAGTAGGGTGGCCTGAGTTGGTGCCCTAATGCAAGCTATGCGCTACTGTGCCAAGACCAGCATAGCATTCAGACACTAGTGCCCTTGGGATATAAGGTGACAGTGCTCTGCATCTACACTACACCTTGCATGCTGGGCTCTGTGGACAGCGACAGATTTCTCTAGCTCCAACTGTTGGAAGGAGGTACGGTAGTGATCCTGAAAACAGTACAGACAGGTAACAGGGATACTGACACTAAGGCAGTACCTACACATTAAGGATCTCTCAGAAAGCAAGAAGCATGAACAGCAGGATTGTCAATGGCCAGCTATTGGTAGGCATAAGAGATCTTCAAGCTGTCTATGGTTAGAGCTGACAGATGTCAGGGGGGCCTCTGTCAGGATGGTTCTGGCTCTCTGAATGACAAAGACAAGTTTGCGGGGGGACAAAGGACCCAGTAGCGGTCCTGGTGCTTGGGGCAACTAAAAGTTCCCTGAAATCACTGCAAGACCATGCAGTAGAGTACGATACACAAACCATAAATAATTACAAATACTATCTTCAATTATCATTCGAATTCAGCTTAATGAGCACTGATTGTACAGAATCTATTAGTAAGCAATCAGATACCGATATTATAAGAAACTAATTCATACATTTTCATAACACTCAATACAAGGAGTGTGCCATTAAAGACCTTTCTATTTTGATACCTTCTAACTCCTTGATTTCAACAATATAAATATGGTAGCTGCATAAGTGTGAGGGGTAGACCTTTTGAAAGTATGCAGCATTTATCGGCTAAATTCTTCAGGAAAACCGAAATTAACATGGAGAGTGCAGAAGACATTTTGGTTTCATGAAACACTGTTTTGTAACCAGGATTATGAATTTATATGGTGATGTTATCTGCATATCTACAAACTACACATGAAATATCATCAGTTCACTACAGTCTTATGATTGTGAAATAACAATAACCTGGAATACCATCTTGGCAATTATAGTTGGACAATTTACATATTTATATATGGTTTCTTTAATGACATTGTAAGTCAAACTATAGTTTTGAATGGTGGGATCTTTGGTGAAAAATTAACTGGAAAGGATATAGAAAGGACCATTTGTGACCTAATTTGAGGTAATAAGCAAGCATTTGCCTGAAGTTACTCAGTAAAGCCATGAAATATCCCAGACAGGATTGCCAATGTCCCAGCCAGAATTTTAATCTGACACCTTCTGACTAGAGATCAGAAAAACTGTCCCTTTACCCAGCTTCCTTGATTAAATGGAGTTGTTAGAATTTGTGTCCATGGTAGAGCTCCAATTTGATGTTCTTGATTTAACATAAAATTTCAATGAAAAAAAGTCATTGATCTCAGTGCTGAATTTCTCTCACTTAAGATTTTCATTTAGCATGTATATTCAAGCTCCCCAAAGATATCATAAATTACACTTTAAAATCTCCTTCATCTAAAATATTCCGAACATACTGAAGTAACTGTTTCCATTGCACTTTGCATCCATGTTAAGGTTTTATTTAATTAACTATAAGCTTAGCTATCTCAACTGAAGGATACAAGATGTTATAAATGCCTAAAAAAGACAGAAGGAATAGTTTTGTAACTGCAGCAGGCAAAAAGCTTCATTTGTGTTTTTGACAATGATGATACCACATGAATACTTCCAGTGTCAAATATTTTCATAGCCAAGGTTTTCCTCAGTTAAGAGTTTGAATTTACAGTGGTACAAAGAAACTTTATTTGGGGATTTCAGCTTACATAATAGAAACAAAACGAGCTTGCATATGATGATGAGTGTAACTTTAAAATAAATGATTGTGTTCATACTACCTGAGAGTCAAATATCTGCTGATCTAGCAGCCAGATTATGGTCCCTTATGCCAAGGATCATAGGTTCGAGACTGGCTATATTTTCTTACTATCTTCAATAACAATCTCCCTTGGAAGAGAGGAGAATCCCACCCTGTATATTCAGACACAAAATTTCAAAAGAGCTGTTGGCATTAGAAAACATGACTATAAAAGCATAGTGTAAAGTCCCTATATTCAACGAATTAATCACCACACCATGAAGGTGTATGAGGAAGTGGATGTATATATCCACATTTTCTCGACTTTCATACTAGCTGGAGGTGAGTGGTCAGCTTCACGCTTTGGTACCCACTGGATAGCTTGGGCGGACCCCAGAGCCAGTCTGGATGACTCAGAGAAGAGAGAATTCTTGACGCTACCAGGACTTGAACTCCAACTCCTACAGTGTCCAGCCCATAGCCAATTACTATAACAATTACACTAACCTGGCTCCCAAAAACCATAGTGTACAGTTAAAATTCTAACTTTGAGTATACCCTAGCAAACTTTTGGGCCTAGGTGCAATGCTGTGCTCGTTACATCCCAGCATTTTTTCTGGCCGAGTGACAGTCAATGCACATAGTTCTGTTCCTCAGAAGGTGGCAGCACTGTACAGAATCATTTGCTATGGCTTTCTGGATGCAATAACAATATATTTTGTATTTCAAAGGAACATAAATTAAAATTTAAGCCACCAGTGAATGAGTTAAAAAGCTTAAAGAAATACTCTACACAGGGATATATATTTTGTTGGACATTTTATAACAGAAAAAGAGAGAACATATGAGCATAATTCTGTTCATGGTACCTGCTAAGTACACTGTACCAATCATAAATATATTTATATAAATCCGTAAAACAAAAATTTGTCAGTTCCTGTTGAAAATCTTACACATATAAAAAAAATACAAGATAAAATTTTGAAATCTCATTTATAACTAAGATCCATGCATTTCTGAAATATCCACATAACTAGTCACTTTGGACATGACATGAAAATGTTTTGTTCAGATTGTGTTCTGAATGTCACGTTTTAAACACAGAAGCTTTAAATACTCATTTGCTCAGTATTTACATTTTTCTGGATTTCATCCACTGTCCAGTATTCTATTATCACTGGTCTAATATCTGGGATTAGATCTTTCTAACTCAACTGAGTACTGTTACTGCCTGACAACTTTAGCCGCCCAGAAAGGCAAACACTGTTGTGGTGCACACGAAGCTATACCCTTGCTGTGCGGCCGTTCAGACCTACTCCCCGAGCGGAAAACATTGCCTACGGAGACCAGGAGTAGTACTATACACCTGACCACACTCCAAGACGCTACATTCCAAACTGGTAGTACCCACGCTGACTTAGGCTGACAAGACTGCTACCCCCCGCTCCGCGAGAGATGGTACAACCCCTTTACCACAGCTAAAGATACGAGGCAGTAACAGTAAGCACCACTGAGGTCCAGAGGTTGGCATTAGCTCTTGCTAATGGACCCAAATCTAGAGGCCGCTCATCTGATGATCAAGCAGAACCAGCTCCCTGAAACATTAAGTTCTACGGTTCAGAATACTGGACAATGCGCCATGTCCCAAAACTAGTGTAACACACGTTTTACAACTGGTTTAATTATTTATCCCTTCATTAAGTAGAGATTACTACAGTCTTGACAAAGAGACTTCATTCTGTGTTTCAACGTGACCCAGATCTGTTTTAAATTCACTTAAGGTCTAAAACGGTGAGAAGAAATTATACATTAAGTCTCAATATAAATATGGGAAACTGTATGAAGTGGACGATTCAGCAGGCGATGCATACTGTCCGACCGAACATGTCACTTGATGCACTCTTACATGCTACAGTTCCTGTCATGTACCTACAGCTACATACTATACAGTCCAGTGGCCCAGCCGCTTTTGTAACTTCATTTCTCACTTGTCTTTTTCTTTTTCCGAGCAGCCTTGATATCGGGTGTTGGAATGTTTTCATTCTTGCGTTTCTGTGAACCTTTACTGCCACCTCCGGTCCCCGAACCCATGTTAGGTATTCCTCCCGCCCCACTGCTTCCTCTGGGGCCACGCTTCTTTTTCTCAGCCCTTTCCTTCTCTTCTAGTTCTTGGTTTTCTCGCTCTATGAGTGTGATAAGCGTATTGCATCGACGTTGTAACTCCATTGCTGTCCGTGACTTAATAAACCAATCAAAACGAAACTGAGGAGCATTCCTGTAAAATACAGATATATTCAATACATGTCAAGACAAATGTAACAATAAGGCCTGTTAACATATCCAGATCTAGGGAGCATTGTCTGCCTGCACCAGGCAGTCACTTGCGGAAGTACATAGTGCGAGATGGATCATTTAAAAACTAGGGACACAAAACCTTTCTTTTCTGAAACACCACAATGTTAAATTATCCTTTATTTGTGGCCCACATTAACACATTCACTGCCAATTCCAGCGGCCAACGGGACTGCATGCCAGTGCTGATTACATTAAACAAAGGACTATTGCCACTTTTTATGTAAATGTCATCTTCTTCTACAGAAATTACTCAAATGAAGACCATCTTCAAATGTAGCCTGTTAAAGCTAAACAGATGAAATGTGCCTGTTGACTGCTGTTTGCTTGTTCTCTTCCTTTTCTGTTTCAAATGTTGCAACCTCAATATCCAGTTTTTGTTGAAATACGACTGGTCCAGGAGGTAAATCCCAGAACAAGGGCATGACAGTGAATGTGTAAAGATCTCTTTAATGGGTCCATTTTATGATGCTGTATGAAAAGGCTGGGTTACACAATGTTAAAGGAAGTCAGTAAAGAATAACTGACATATTCTTTTCAAGAAAGGCAAAACTGCTTTCTAAAAATAATTATACTTACAGAAATTTGACGAAAAGTACAATATTGTTGGAAGATAGCCGCCGCAGAATGCAGCTGAAGTGATATTATTTGTATTTGAGTGTGCAAGAATAAATGTGTTAGCTAAATCCGACACTTCACGTGGGTCTCGGGTTTAGCGAACACACTTATTCTTGCACACTCAAATACAAATAGTATCACTTCAACTGCATTCTGCAGCGGCTATCTTCCAACTGTCTCTGACCGTGGCTGGATCTCGACTGTCTTCAACTGCGACTATCCCAAAACTGTCTCGGTGAATGCATTACCTTCTTATATATCTGCGGCCGTTGCTATGCAGTGAACCTTCTGTTGCGACTCACTGTTAGATTTACAATACTGCTATTGTTGCTTCCTATGCAACGGTCTGTTATTGCGTTTCCATGGAAGTAACCCTTCTGGATTCCAAACACGTGACATTATTTTATTTAAACAACCCTTCCAAAGGTTAAAAAAAGTTACTAATGTGGCTGAGAATTCCTGATAACCTGATCACAAATATGAACGTTACCAAAGGTCACTATGACAAAAAGTATGATGGGCCCTAGAATGGGCTTTAAAGCGACTGATAAGCAATCCATCTAGTGCACAGGTTTTCAGAAAGCTGAAGTAGTATATCTCATTGAAAGCTTCCTTTTCAGCCTATTGGGATTATTATTTCTCTGCCTGAAATGTGAACTTTGAAAACAGTCATAGGCTACTGACATCTACAAACAAATAAAAGAACTACTAGATTTCAAATCAGATACTATGCAAAAGCAGATTCAACTTTCCTGTTGGTCACAGAGCCTGAAACTGCAATCACACCATAAATGTGTGAAGCAGAAGAAAACACAAACTACTTCCCACTCTACCAATACTTCTTATAAACGACTATCTACACTTTTTCCCCCCCCTTGGCACTAAAACCCTAATGGGCCTAGGCCTACTTCCATGAACTTGTCCGTTTCACTTCCGTTTTTCTAGATCTTAGACGTAGGGTAGGACTCCTTGGGTGTGCGATCAGCTCGTCGCAAGGCCTCTACCTGTACACAAACACAGAAAAACGCACACAAACATCCATGCCCTGAGTGGGATTCGAACCCACGATCCCGGCTTATCTACACTTATCACAACAAATTCTTCTGAATTTAATATCAAATGCATTTCAACTCAACAGCCATTACAAGTGCCACTTGTAAGATTTGTGTTCTACCCTGTGTCCTTACCCTACCAATGTTCATGTTTTATTTAGTGCAACTTCAAAGAGTATTCTGTTTTCATTAGTAAGCTGCATATTTATTGCTAATCATTCCTTATTAAATTTTAATTTACAGAAAAATTCAAATATAATGGGTGAGGATTAGATGTAAATGAACAACATACTGTAACGTGTTTCGTTACTGAAGACGCCGTAGAGATTGTTAACTGGTTTATTTAACTGATTCTCGCACACGCGTCTGTAACTCGTAACTTGCAAACTGAGAACTGTCGTCGGCGGCTGTGTAGCTCCCTTATAAACCCTCAGCAGGGCAACGAGAAAACAACCACGTGGTAGGCATCACTGTTGCTAGGGTCGTCTATCTCAACCACTGTTTATCTGNGTATTCTGTTTTCATTAGTAAGCTGCATATTTATTGCTAATCATTCCTTATTAAATTTTAATTTACAGAAAAATTCAAATATAATGGGTGAGGATTAGATGTAAATGAACAACATACTTCTTGAACTTGCATTACATAAAGATGAGCACCAATANGCGTTGCATAGCGACCAGTGCGCTGGGATTCGGCTCACTTCGGCTCCGCTCGGCACGTCACCGCCGCCGCCGGGGGGGGGAGTGGTGTCCTGCGTAGCGCGACAAGTAGTAACGAGAGCGCTACGTTAGCGCCACGTACCGCTGGGGAGGTAGGGGTCCTCCGTTGCGCAACATGTCACAATACTTCTTGAACTTGCATTACATAAAGATGAGCACCAATTTCAGAGGGGAGCAGGACAGAATACAAATCATACAAGCAGAAGTGGTTTACAATCTAATATCTAAAAGGTATGAAAGTAGCTGACAAACCAAAATTTGTCTGCTATTAAATTCAGAAGAATTTGTTGCAATAAGGGTAGATGGTCATTAACAAGAAGTAACCTTATGCTATACACCACACACATGAACTCTGTATAGTTGTTCTTACCTCTATGGCTCAAGCATGTAGACACCTACTTTTATCTATCAAAATCTATAAAATACAAGGTCGATCCAAAAAGCAAAAGCAATCAACTTATAAAAATTGGAGTACAGGTCAGAGAGTGGTCAGAATTTAATGAAGCATATTCTGTACTTGGACACATTTAAACATGACTTCAGTTGCTGGTATGTTTATTGTGTTGGCTACAACCACTGTGCAAACTGGCTGATTCTGCTTTTTGAATGCACAAATGATGATCAATGCATCACGATTAGATTTTAATAGAAATGGTTCAAATATTTACATATGCACTTGTCCCTCATACACTGTAAAGTATGCACCTTTTCTGGACAACTATAAAATTTTACATGGATTCTGACTTTAAACACGTGTCAGAGGAAATGTTTTCTTGGCTTCAAAAGAAACTGAAAAGAGTGTGTGGGGAACCAGGTGTGATTACATTAAAAATACTTGTTTGTTGTAAATTTAATAAAAGAATAGGGCTGCGCCTTAGTTCAAGCGGTTAGTCGGTAGCTTCCCATCACGGCGGCCTGGGTTCGATCCCAGGTCTGGTCAAGTGGGATTTGTGGTGGACAACATGGCGCTGAGGCAGGTTTTCTCTGAGTACTTCGGTTTCCCCTGCCAATCTTCATTCCACCAACTGATCCACAATCACTCTCAACTATCATGTGGGACTGGTACAATAGGCCAGAAGTGGCCGCAGTACAAGGGGCTTAGTCCCACCCCACTAGCAATAAAAGAAATAAAAAAAGAATAAGAGTAAATTACTTTTGTTTTTTGAATTTCACTTGCAGCAGCACTTTCATCAAGCCTTACCTCACTGCTGCCCGGAGCTCTTCATAAACATTTTCTTTGTCAAATCCAAGCTTGTGTAACATACATACAAGAAACCTATCCTCCTCTTCTGTATAGTTCTTGCCTTTGTTAGTGCCGTATGCTATCCGGAGCTGGTGGAACGGGGCACGATATCTGGCCATCTGCAAGCCAAAAACAAGTGCAGGAGAAAGTCCCTTCTCACAGGGCTCTCTGTAATAATGCATAAATTTCATAACAAAAATCCTGACTAGAAAAAGTACCCTTATTCTGTCATTTACATCAAAACTATCCATTTAAGTTTCTTTTTGAGCCAATGAACATTGAACTGAGGAACACCTTAAATTGGAGGTAATTTAAAACTGAGATTACTGCCTTAGAAAAATTCAAACTGATCATTAAATAAGGGAAAAGCTTAAACGGGTTCCGCTCCATTTACCTGCCTTTCAATGTATCTATCTACAATTACTCTCTAACCTTTTCATTTATTATCCCCCCCCCCCGAAATTTCTCGTCCTGTACTTCTTAAACAAAAGCTGAAACTCAGCTGCTGTAATAATACTGTACTGTTGCCTTTATCTACGTCAATATTTGTGCTCCATATATTAATATATTTTAAATACATATTTTTCTTCCTCACATGTTTAGGTTCCTCAGGAAGTGTGACAAGAACACTGAAACTATGACAATCCATGCAAGTTGGTAGTGGATTATGTGACTGCTTTCTATATTACTAAAAGAGAAACCTGTATCTGTCCCTTGAAATTAACACTTCTGACATTACCTTCACATATTCTACATACATTTTCATGATTTAGGGGTTTGTGCGTGACTTATAAGACAAGTTCTGGATTGGATGACTGGATTTATTAACACCTTATACACAGTACTCGGAACTAGAGACAATACAGCGCTACCACTGATCTACACACTTTACAGTTTACCAGTATACACACTATAAGATTCTCAGTCTTCACTACTCGTATCCAGGAAATGGATTTATAACCGTCTCACTGTCTCTTAAAATCACACATGAAGTCTCCCTTTCACAGCCTAATTCCCTTCTTATCGTAATTCTGCAGCTGCCGATTGTGAAGATTTGACCCAATTCAATTCCAAGCTTATATCCTAGCAGGCTGCTGTCCCAAAACTTGACTCTTCACTCTATGCTGCTCAAATCAATTCTTCTTTATAACTTGGCATGGACCCCATGAAAAACACTGTCTTCTATTGTCTCATATTGTTTTAGGTGTGTTTACTGCACCACTGCATTGCAATGGTTGTGGTGTTGATCACATAGAAAATAGCCTCCCTATTGTTGAGGTGTGTTTACTGCAGGCATGTGTTTACCAAGTCACTGCCTAGCAATGGGTATACATGTCACAATACGAATCACATGAATTCTTTATGGTAAAAGTGTAATTTCACATTTTCAAGCAGTAATCCAACTTTTTATGGTTAAAATCTTTCCTTTTTATCAAGACAATGTACCATCCTTAACAGCTACAATCATATTGTCATGTGTAAGGGTGACTATAGACGGGGTCTGGATTGGATACTGGATTTATCAACCACTTATACAACCCCACTTGGAACTAGAAGTAATTACAATGCTATCGCTGAACTCCAAAATTCACTAATCACTACATACCAAGTCTTCCTGCAGTGTCTTCAAACAGCCATTACCTAGCAGCAGCTTCTATTGGTGGAGATTCTTCAAATTCCCCCACTCAAGTCCTATTTTCGCAGCCTCCCGTGCAGAACTCTACTGGACTGACAACTCTGGAAGTTGACTGCCAATTCTCAACTAACTACCAGCAACCAACAACTGAACCAGTTGCCCCATTTCTCTTCTTTAGAATTCTTTGTCACTGACCATGTACGCAACACCATATTTTTTCCATTGCATGCATAACCAATGCTGTGGCAGTGTTTACCGAGCTGTTATCCAGAAATGGGTCTAATATAACTGTCCATCGCATAGCAATGGCTGTTGTCTTCTTGTTTGTTTTGAGGTCTTTGCCTAGCAATGGATTTATACACTACAATATACAGTTCTCAGAATCCTTACACTGTAACCAGATGGGTGAGAGATGAAGCCCAGAACTTCATAACCAAAGACACAATAATGCGCTGGCTGGTCAGAGCCATCACACACCTCAGGTGATGGTGATTACATGAGGAAAACTTAAGTAAGTCAGGAAGAAACCTGTTCTTATGTCACTGTGTTCACCATGAATCTCACATAAATTCACCCAGGCCTGAACCCAAGACTCTCTGGTGAGAAGCCAGCACCTAACCACCTGGGCTATAAATTTCAGTAAACAGGTGACATAAGCACTGTATATGAGTTTGCGTAGGATGATCACTGTCTTCTGGAATTTGATGGCATGTAGCATTGCAAAAAGTTATCAGCAGGGCCCGGATTTTGATGACATGTCATCTTTTTTTCCTTGTATCCTATTCGATGCTCTTAAATATATAAATCTCGGATATGAGCTCCTGGTTACAGAAATGTAAATTTTATAGGTAATTCTTTGTCATTTTTTTATATTTTTAGGTTTAAGGTCATTTTTTCATTTTGGGAGTATTTTTTGGGTAAATTTTTGGACTTTTAAGGGTACTTCTTGTCATTTTTGGCCATTTTAGGGAATTTTTCTTCATATGTTTTCTGAAATGTGAATAATACAGAAGCAAAGTGTTCTTTCTCATTCTCCTTTAGGTCATTTTTCTGGATTTTTTGGGTCATTTTTTAAATATTTTCAGGTCATCAAAATCCGGGCCCTGCATATTACATATTTGGGTCATATTTTAGGTCATTTTTTAAATATTTTCAGGTCATCAAAATCCGGGCCCTGGTTATCAGCGTTTCTACGGAACTTCTTGCCTCAACCTTCAGGGCACATTCCTCTGAAATGTTGATAAGAATCCACCAGATTACATGGTGCCACATCCCAGAAGACATTAATACAAGCATTCCTAGATTTATTTGATAGTTGTGTTCCCAAAAAAGTTACACAGGGTCAAACTGCACAAACCAAACATAATTTTACCTTCTGTCACATTCTTCATCCAAAAACTCATGCATTAATGAACTCACTCTTCTTCTTCCTATCTCAATTTGTCAACAAGCAATTCACACTAAAAACAAGCACAATCAATTGAAACTGATCTGACTTAGTTGATGACATTAAAGTGAAACATTTCCAAACGTAAATATAACAACAGGTACCTGTACTCAGTAGTGAAATGCGGTATTTTTGGGATCTCACTGCCGCCTGTGAAGTTCAAATGCTTCATCTGCTTTTACTGTCACACCAAGTTGCTATTTCAAACTTTTCTAGAAAACTACTTTAATAAATTCAGATTTCACAACAGGATACAAAATTACAAGACCAAGATGTGAAAACAAGTTTACAACATTATTTATGATTCTGGATTGTGTTCAACTGCAGGCCCAAGTATATTAGTTACTTACCGTGACAAGACGGGGGGGAAAAGAACATAACATATTTACACTTTTCGAACCTTAAAAAACAAACCCTGACAGCAAACAGCAAAAACTGTGTCCTTACCTTGGCATCCAGTGCCTTCTTAATACTGGCTCGTCGCTGAATTTTGGCCTCTCCCCTGTCAATCTGTGCCATGATACGGTCAATATCTTGTAGTTCATGGCACCGTTCCCAGAATACAGAGCTGTATTGCATCACCTCATCTGGAGTCTTTCCTTCCACATCCTTGGCAATGTTATCAATGTCATCTCTTCCGTACTTCTCGTTGGCCTTAATGAACTGATTGAAGTCACGCTTCGTCCAGTTTGTGAAACCCTAGTAAAATAAATATGGGGGGGGGGGAAGGAAAACATATTAAGTTATGTTATATGCCCTTTTCTGGCATAAAGCAAACATGACTATCAATTTTTATTCTGATCATAGTTGCTCTAAATCTTGATGAAGAGTCACACTGATTTATAAGCAACTGAAATTAATTCATTAACTGAAACCTCTTCTACCTGTGTGAGCAACTTTTCTTTCTCCACAACTTCATCTTCTGTGAGTGGCTGGGCATCATCTATTTTGCGCTGTTCTTCTTTTTGAATTCTCGAAGCATCAGACCCCAGTTCTGGATTCTTAGGAACCTGCAAAATGTGTTGCATTCAGTTCATTCAGATATCTTACAAATATGTTCTTTGTGATTCTGTATGCCGTGACAGCTTAAATGTTTGTTTATGGCACATACAAACTTACTACCGCACATCTTGTGGTGTTATGGAAAGGGGCATTAAATAAGATATCTGATAAAATGTAATCTTAAAAGGATCAAGTGAGAAACATGCTACGACAGTGAAAGCACAATACGTTCCAGTCAGTGAGTGTAATACCGAGTTAAGTACATTACTGCATAAATCTCTGAAGTTGCTTCTTTTTCTCCTTGGAAGTGACATTTAGTGACTTAAAACCTTCTTCTCTGTAACATCACAGAGATACAAACCCAGTGCTGCAAAGCTAACCACACTGCAGATATCATACTACATTCTCAGATACCATCTTCATTTGTTTTCATTAAAAATTTGCAGTGCCAAAAACTTTAAAATATTTTAGTAAAAGATTAATAATAATGGATTACTTTTAACGTCTCATGAAAATATGTTTCTATTAATCAACTAACTTATTAATAGATAATTATTAAAAACAGCCACTGACAGCCACAGTATTTATACCATCAATTCATGGTACAGGTTTTTTCAAGTTAATAATTATTCTACTCAGCTAGAAAATCGTTTTATGGAACATGAGGCTCATCAATGTATTCACAAAACCCTGCCAGTGGAACCTTAACCTGAGTCAGTTCAAGCTAGTCAATCTGCAGGATCAATTTCTCTAACATGAGCACATTTGTTCAAGCAGTGGCACTACTGATTTGTATTCTGGAGGTAGCTGGTCTACACCCCAGCCAGGAGACCAACTCATGTTTTCTGTAGTCCCTCTATTACACTGTCATGCCAATATCTCATATTAGACCATGACTGCTTCCTTCCGCATCCTCTCTAATTCATTATTTACACTAATAATCCGACCGTTCAACACTATATTGTCACAGTTAATGAGTAGGCCTACAATCAAATAAACCATAATAAATAAATAAATATGTCTGTAGTAAAAATTTTAACCCTCTGTACACAGTACATCTGCATTAAAACCACAACAGCTGAAGACAGTAGTTTACTCTTTATCAATCAGTCTAGCATTTCTGGTAACAGACGACATAAAGTGTGACATACCAATGTTTAGAGGAAAGAACGGTTTTCACATGAAATGTCTGTCGTTTGAGAGAAGTACTGTGGGGGTTTCTGTACAGCTACATTTACGCCCCAGCACACTTGGCTTTTATAGCAGGTGGTTCTATGGCCAGGCTTGACACTGAAAGGTTAAATTACCCTCACCTCCTCACACGTACATTGTCTCATAAATGAACCCTTTCATTGAAGAGTTTCAACACAGTTTTGTACACATGTATTAATCTCACACCAAAATGAATCTACCTTATAGTGACCAGCCCTGCACACGTTACAGTTTTGTTGTGCAATGCAACAATATCGTTAAGGTAATTATGCCAAGAAAGAGTCTCTCACTGAATTGCCTCAAACAAGATGGATTCTACAGACAATAGAAAACATCGGATCCTGTAAGTAATGAATCAACAGTCTTATAGGATGACTATCTGTATGACCATAAGTGATAAAATGTTCTCAGGCTATTATCCATGTGAATATGGAACCAAACATGTGTTCTGGGTTGACATGATTGGAAGCCTGAGAAGATTCTAATACCCAAATGAAAATACCTTCCAAAATTTAAGCTAACACTGAATGAAGCACATTAAGATTCTAAACTCTGATTTGCTGGTAAGTTCCACTTCAATAGCAAACTCATTACTGAACTGCTTATTTCACTGAAAGAGATATATACAAACCTTATAACCGACTGTTTTCCGGAAGTAGTAAATTTCCTGATCCAACAGCTCAAACAGCCGGGGTGGGAAAAACTGAAAATCTTGAACAATTGGTTGCTTAGGTGGTCGTGGAGCCTAGAAAACAAAAATTACATCTCTTTATTAAATAAATCAACACTGTTGTCTTAAATATATCGAAATATACATTAATAATGGATATAATATAATGTGATTGAATAATCCATGACTAGACAACGCTCAGTAAACATTGCTTGAAAGATGGAATAGCAACAGAAGTGGAAGTTCATTTGCCAGGTAACAAATATTAACAAAGACATTCCCATGACAACAGGAGGACAGTTAACCGTTTGAGATGGTGATCTGTATCCAGTCCACCAAAAGTCAATTCAGTCCAGTAGATTTCAGCCATGACAGATTCTTCATATGGCATTCAGCAGGAGTTCAATGCATGAGCAGAGATTTGTTGTTTTTCATTCGTCACAGTAGACACTCGTGGTCCAACAAGGAAAGGAGCGAGTCGTAGACAGTAATACTCATAGACAGTGAGCTGTCATAATTGATTGTAATTGTAAAGAAGTGCCAATGAATCCACTCATTGAATTCAGAACCCATTATTATTAGTCATGAAACCCCGAATACGTGACACTAACGAGTATTAATAATACTACAACTACAATAATGACGACAACAATAATGTAAGATATGTGGTTCTACAGTAGTGACTATGTAGACGAATGTCTTCTGGGAAGTGACACCATGCAGTTTGGTAGATAAGTACTAACATTTTAAAAATTATCTCAATCTCTTCTCACACGTCTATTTTGAATAACCAAAGGAAAAAGGAACATGAAGACAATAAACATACTATATGACAAGATTCTGGTTTATATTTCATGAGCCCTCTGGCTGTTAATTGTTTTTCATGCTCCTAAGCATATGCACCTATATTTGGTGAACAAGCTGTTTGGTCACTTAAGTGTGATGACCTGAGTACCATTCATACTGATTGGAACCTCAAGCACTAATTCTATGTATTTTTTTTTTCCTTGGCACTACAGCCCCAGTGGGCCTAGGCCTACCTCCATGAACTTCTCCGTTCACTTCGGTTTTTCTAGATCTTACACATTCGGTAGGACTCCTTGGGCCGGTGATCAGCTCGTCGCATGGCCTCTACCTGTACACAAACACAGAAAAACGCACACACACATCCATGCCCGGAGCGGGATTCGAACCCACGATCCCGGTTTCCAAGCGAGTGAAGACAGTACATGCCTTAGACCGCTCGGCTACCATGACCAGCTAAATCTATGTATAGGATATTGTATTTTGTGAATAAGACAGCAGTTTTCAAAGTTACCTTTGGTGCCTTTGGTTCTGAAACACGGAGAGCCTCACGGAAGTAAGCATCCACTGCGTAGTTGGCTTTTCGCTCTCGTTTCGGGGGCTCAATCCAGTTCCCAATGCCAAGAATTTTCTGTTTCTCTCTGAATGAAATTATACAACATACAGACCAGATCAAAATCTGCAGTTAAATATGCTATGAGAAATATTCTAAGACTGAAATACCACATGACACCTAAAATTATAAATGTAACCCACTTCATAACTTTGATGTAGTGCTTTTTTTGTTATTCTCTGATTCTCAAGGACTTAGCTCCATGGAGTTCGTGAGTTACCAGATCAGGTGTTTTATATAACATCTTCAGTTCTTAGTTACTTTGGATTCTCCCAGCTTCCTTCCCCCCCATCACATCACATTGTGTCACACCGAGTCACACACAAATACTGCTATCATTCCACTGCCTGTTCTTGCAAACAACAAATATCTTACCGATAATCTTCCCCTTCAAACTGGTAGACAGAGTCTGTGCCTGGTGCATCCAGTGTAAAATTCCTAAGTGTAGATTCTCCCATACCCGCCAACTTTTGTCTCATTTCCTCTGTCTGTAAAGAAAAACAAAATGGCCTCATGAAATCAGGAATCGCATGTAAATTTAAACCTCCATTCAGGGCTTCTTTGGGGAACAGTAGACCTGAACACCAAACTGAAGAGAGTCTCAAACATGCAGAAAATCTAACACTGTGGTTACTGACCTTGAATCATTGAAACTGAGCACTAAATAAGAGAAAACATTAAACTGGGTAACATTAGATGTTGTGTTTCCACAGATAAATACCATATTATACCAATGACAAATTTATAATAATGGCATATTCACCTTTGCTTCTCCTTTCATGAGAATTGTGTCGATATCTTCATCGGTTATGGCTGAATCCTTAGAAGCAAAGACCTGGTTTGCCCCATAGCGGATCATGTTAAGCATCTCATCCTTGTTTAGTTGGTTTTGTTTGTTGTCCACAAGACGACCTGAACAAAGATTAATCTGATTACTTTCCTTTACCACAAGAATGATGATTCTGACTATCAGTAATGATCAAAGATGAAATTCCCATCATGCTGAGCAAACTGTGAAGTCACACAGCAAAAACAGTTGACACAGAGTTCTATTATATCATAAATGGCATATATGAGCGGAAAAAGAGCTGAAGATCACTGCTGTCTCCAATGACATGTCATGTAACAGGGTAAAAAGATAACAATGAATCAGAACACTTTGTCTCCACCGTTAGGCTAAATTGTAGGAATCTGGCAATGGGAGAACTTTCTCCTGAAGACAGAGGTCATATGTTCCTCTATACACTGACATCTTTTCATCAGACTGTACAGCGTCACATTCTAGAAGACAATAAACTTTGTCATTACTGTAAAAACCACCAAACCTCAAAACAAAAATATGGCGCGGTCACACTTTATGTGAATTTGAAATAGTGTGATATAAAAAATTAAACCTGCATTTTATGCACAGAGTTTGATATAATGTGCATCCCCCCAAATTTGGCAAGAATCATGTATTTGTTATTTGCCTGAGAAAACTTGTCTTGAATTATGTGAGGCCTGCAGGAATGCATCCTTGCACAAAATGCGACCGCGCTGTAATATCGAACCTGCTTTCACACAATTCATCCTCTATTTGTGATTCATTTAATGGTACTTTAAGTTCTGACCACACAGCACTGAATGGTAGAATGATTACTGAATGATGAATTGGAAAGGACATGACAAGTGTGTTCACAGTCTGTTTCAAGGTACTATCCTAACATCTGGCTAGAGGGACTAAGGGAAGAAAAAACCTCAATCAGGATAGTTAAGTGTCCTCAGCCGAGATCTGAACCAGGCATCTCTTGAATACAGGTCAGAAGCATTATCACCTGAGCTAACTTGCTCACATTATTTTAACTCTTATAGATACATCAAAGAGACTGTGACATTCAAACTTCAACAGAGGAGGAAGCAAAACATTTACACTGGTTTATAAACATAAATTTGAAAAATATTACCAGATTGCCCAGCATGAAATTAAAAATTCAACTCGAAACTTATTTGCCTGACCTTATAAAATCCTCAGTCCCAAACATGAGCTGAAATGTCCCAGAATCAGCCAAATGGAACTCCTCCATAAAATCTGAATTGCGACATTGTTTAGTGGCCACAGTGAGGGCAAGCTGCGCCACTATCTGTGCTCCCCCACTCTGCATGTACTCGTTTGCTGGCCATTGTTACTACTCTATGCTCACTGGTAATGAACGAACTAAAATTAACCTTGTCTGATGATGGTCAAAACGAATGAAACATGTAGCATAGTAACATTTCAATAAACATCAGTTACTTAAAATAAAAAGTGACTGACAAATATGCCACATAGTACTGACACACATAACCTTCCTCTAGTTACAAGCTACATTCTTCAGGTATATTTTTTAGCTGTGTAATCTTCTGACATTTGACTACTGATACACATAACCTACTCTAGTTACAAGCACATTCTGCAGGTATATTTTTTAGCTGTGTAATCTTTAGACATTTAACTGGTAGTCCTTACAGGTGAACATGATTTTTTCATAGAAACCTGAGAGAATTTATTTTTCATACTGAATGGTAGGCAAAATATGTATGGTTGAAACAAGTACCTTATGATATCTCATGAGGGTTTTACAATCTATATAATAAATTATTTATTATATCTCATGGAGGAGAAAATTATATTAAAAGGAATACTTCTGGAAGAAAGCAAAAACAACTCCGTAATCAGGTGGCTTCAAATCAGTTCTTATGTACGTTTATCGCAACTAGCTGAGACAGTCAGCTGATAAAAGTTTTGGCTGTGGAGCTGGTTCAAATTTAACGTGTTGCAGAGATCACTCTGATTGTCGAATGAAAATAAATGCTTTTATATTTAATGATGAAATATAAAAAAATATACAGGGTGTTTCATGACTTTATGGCATAAGTGCAGGAGGTGATTTCCTAGGTTTTTGTGATCAAAGAAGTTCATATAAACACGTGTCCGATTTTGGACACTTACGGAGTTATGACCGTCTTTTCATTCCTGTACATGCCCTGTGTGAACCGTGTCTATCATCTGACAGGTCGTTATTTTTAGCCGGCTACAGACAGAGCGTTCTCATTATCTCGACATTTGAGAAGTACCTAAGGCATGGTGGGTTGGTATTTACCTGGGCGGTTCACAACCGAGAGGCAGCCTGTGTTGTGGCCGGCGGTGGCATTTTCGAAAATCAGCTTTAAGCACCAATAAATTCAAATTAAAGGTAATTTCATGAAGTTAACTTTACATTCATACTTTAAACGTATCATGTATTATGCTGGTTTATTATTTTGTTCCGTTTATTGTCAGTAATCGTTACCTTCTATTCTGAGTTTAAAACGGTCATAACTCCGTAACCGTCCAAAATCGGACACATGTTTATGTGAACTTCTTTGATCACAAAGCCCTAGGAAATCACCTCCTGCAGTTACGCCCCAAAGTCGTGAAACACCCTGTATATATATATATCTTGTGGCCATACAAAAACTGACAGGATGTAAACTAAACTTAAACTGCTACAACAGCAGAAACTTGGTACTGGATGTTATTGCCATAACCTCTCCCACCCATATGCTGGCATACACCAGGCTGACATCACCCATGACAAGCCTTTTATGTAAACACTCACATAAATCATTCACCCAAAGTTTGGGGGGGGAGGAATCTGAAATATATAATGAAACGTGGTAATAATCATTAGTTGCAATGAATAAATCAAACGTACATGACCTTCCCTTCCCTACCTGACATGTATCCAAAAGAATTAAAAAAATACAGTACCTTGTTGGATCACAAGCTTGTCCAGTCTCAGCTTCACTTCTGCTCTCTCCACTATCTTCTCTTCGACAGTATTCTCTGTGATCAGACGGAATACTTTCACCTGCTTCAGCTGCCCAATACGATGAGCTCGATCCTGTTACAGAAACATCAAGACATTTTAAGGTAGAGAGCAGTACACAGACCATCAGAATTTTGCAACGGTAATTGTTTCATTACATCACAAATGAATTCACCAGCCGGAAAAGGACACGTACAATCCTAAATAGGAGTTACAATCTATTTTATAACTAACCAATCCAGTTATAACAAACTCCTATTTAAGGTTTCTTTGGGTACCAGTGGATCTTAATACTAAATTGAGAAGAAATTTAAATATATTGTGACGTATTTGCGCTATGCAGGACACCCCTTCCCCCGCCAGCGGACGTAACAGCGCTAGTCAACTCTCCGCCCACCTCCTGCCCGCGGTGATGTAACAGGCAAGTCAACACTCTGCCTCCCTACACCGCGGTGAGGTCTTGCTAGGCAGGCGGTAAACATGACGTCACACAACAGGCGAGCCATGCAAGGACTGTTGCTAGGAAATCGGTAAACACGACAATTCAATTCAACAATGAGTTTATTGAATTGCGAGCACTGAAACTGAATGCAAAATGAGGGAAAACTTTGAACTGCAAACATTAAATAGGAATTCCAGTGGACACTGGAGTGTCTACTGTCTGATATATGCATGACATCTGGGCATTAGCTCCATTGCCATAGTTTGAATGTGGCAAGACAACAGAACAAGGCCCCTAATTGGGTCTGCCAACTTTTTCCCTCCCTGCTGCCATTAACACAAGTACTGCTAGGGAGGAAAAACGATCATTTAAGGCATTACAAGATGGTTAAGGGCATATGGTAACATAGTTGGTTGAGGCACTACAATACAAGCCAGAGGTCACAGGTTCAATTCCCAATGAGATCATCATATTTTTCAATTAACCTAATCCTTCCAGCCACATTGTGGCCCTGGGGATGACTAAGTCTCTAACAGAAATGAATATCAGGAATCTTCTTGGTTGTAAAGGGAGGCTGGACCGTAAGGCTGACAACCTCACAACCAACTGAGCCAACCATCTAGAAAATGTGGGAGCCTCGATGTCTCACAACCCTGTGGGCAAGATGGTTTAGATATGTACTGGAGGCTATCAGGAAAGAGGAAAGCACCTATAAAAAGCACAAAAGGTGAAAGCTTTTCAAACACCAATTCATACAAAATAGAAATGATGCTAGAAGAAGATGAAAACTAACAATTTCAATGACATACTATTTACATAAATCCTTTTATGGAAGGTCATGGGTTCATTTCCCAATGAGGTCATTGGATTTTTCAACTAACCTAATAATTCCAGAAGCACTATGACCCTGGGGTCAACTCAGCCCCGAACAGAAATGAGTACCAGGAATTATCGTGACAAGCATATAAGGCTAACAATTTCACCTCCATCTGTGAGCAGACTATCTAGGAAATATGGGAGCCTTGACATCTCACAACCTTATGGGCCTCCAAGGACTGTTACAACCTAATTTGTATGTTAATTACAAAACATNCTTCATTGTCATCGCCGTGAAAACCTCAAAACTTACATAATTTGTATGTTAATTACAAAACACAAACCCCATTAATCTACTGGTTAGTACATGAGTTAAGTTCTCAGAGGGTTCTATGTTCAAACGTGCCCACTGCTAGTAATTAAATTCCTATGACTGTCGGTATCAAGACGCTCGTGAAGGAGGCATTACTTACCATGGCCTGCAGATCCATCTGGGGATTCCAATCAGAGTCATATATAATAACAACATCTGCTGTGGCGAGGTTAATACCAAGACCACCAGCTCTTGTCGACAACATAAAAATGAATTTCTCGCTGCCTGGTGCATTAAATTCATTGATCTGCCTCTGCCGGTCCTCGTGGGGTGTCTGTCCATCCAGACGACAATACTGAAGAAAAATATGATAATCAACAGCTCTGAAAGTATGCTTAATACCTTGGTATGGTGCATGAAGGCAGTAAAGCTCACATGTTCTTATAAGGTAGTAAAATCTCAAAGTGACAAGATCATGCAATAATGGAATACAGATGAACAAATCCATGAGAGTGGCCCATATATGTAAACTCTACTGCTGACCAGAAATAATTTATGATACTAACAACAAACAAGATAAAAAAAAAATAATAAGAAAATGCAAGAAAAATTTCCTAAATAATTATGCATAAATGAGTAATTTCAGTTTAATGTAACTAAATATGAGTTTTACACCACTACAGCATTTCTATTAGGAGTTGCAATAGCGCAGTCAGTATAGTGATGGCTATAGGCTGGATGACCGAGGGGTTGTAATGAGAGTCCCGGTAGGGTCAACAATTTTCTCTTATCCATGCCATCCAGACGGGCTCAGGAGGTCCACCTAACCTCCTGCTCAATGGGTACCGGGTGACTTTCCCTTAGGTAAATCGGCTGGGGCATGAAGCTGATCACTCACCTTGAGCTAGTGCCGAGGTCAAGAAAATGTGGATCTATACAACCAACAACATATGCCTTCATGGCACAGTGCTTAATTAGTCAAGCACAGGGACAACTTTACCTTACAAGATTTCTATTAAAATTGTGGCATACTGGGATGTGAAGCCATGTAGTACAGCAGACAGTCACCAACATTTTTGGAAGAATGTGCTGCCTCCTTCTTCAGGGAGACTTTGAGAAATTTTCCTCTACAACCATGCCAAATTTAGTCCCACACCAATTTTGACCAAATTTCATATAATGGTGAAGGACCTTTGGTTTCCTTTTGGTTTGAATTCATTTTCTTTCTGATTAGTTTAGTTTACTTTATATGTGTGCATTATGCCTCGGTAACACTGGGTGTGTCAGCTAATGTGCGCGAGTGCATACATATGTCAGCCAGTTAATTACAAACAGACAAAGTCTCTGAAATGTTGGTTTTCAGCTCAACCATAATGCGCGTGGGTGCCTAAAAAAATTTACAACTACACCGGATCAGAGTGCTGTACTTACACTGTATCCCCTCCAATGACAGTAATCCTCCAGAATATCTAGCATTCTGGTCATCTGGCTAAATATGAGAACTCTCGACTCCTGTTCTTGTAACCTTGGAAGTAGTTTATCCAGTATAACCATTTTACCGCAGTTGTAAACCTAGAAGACAAATTAATAGCAATATACAAAAAACATCTATTTGGAGATAAAAAAAGTAATTAAAAAAATAAATACACTGATATCTAACAATGATAATTATTCCCTTTTATCCAAATACAAAACAAACTTTAACTTCAGATGACATCCTAAAACCAAAAGCTTGATCAATCTGCACACTATGTTGAAATCCAGTTTTAGTATTCTCACATTCATTGAAAGTTTTGCAAGGTCAAGGATCTTACACTAAATACTAACTGGGATATAACCCTGCGTAATCTGCTGAAAGCCAACTTACGTTTCAGAGGAACATGTCACCCAGATCTTCAGGGTCAAAGAAGAAGTCAAGCAAGAAGAAACATTGAAACCTGAACACTCGAGACTAAAACCTTACAGAAACCCATGAAGAATCTGTCATGTCATACAGGTACAATTTCTGAAACATCATGTTTTCTAGTTTTTAGGATACTGGACGATAGACAAAGTCTGAAAACCCAGTTACTCGAGTGTTACACACCGTCGTCAGAAACCTTTAGAATCTACCAGCCTAGAATCTGTTCAGCATTATTTTTAACAAACTTTGACTACAAATTAAAAAACATTTACTCACTAGATGTTCATCTGTTGTGTACGGGGGGCCAGGCTCTGCCCCATCAAACAGATATGGATGGTTGGAGCACTTCCGCAGCTGCATGAGGATGTTCTGCAGTCTCATTTTCTCTATCTTGCCAGCACCATTCACAATATCAATATCCTTCATCAGCACCTTTGTATACCTTTACATAAAAACATAATATAAACATTACTAGGTCAAACCTTTAGTTTTTTTAGATATGACAAAGCAAACAGAAACTTCCCAGTGACAATCTGAAACAGGGGAAATTTAGGATAGCAAAATTCTTCTCTTTACCTGACAGAGATGTTCTTTCACAAATTACAAAATGACTTTAACATGCAATAAATATTAAGGCAAGCCACTTGTTGTTGTGATCCTGATTTTCTTTTCTATACACAGTTCAAATTGGCTAAATACAGAATATTACATTGGTATTCCCTCTACATTCTCAGAAGCCATATTATTTTGTGGGTTATTTCATGATGCTATCAGCAGCTAGACTATACATCAATGAACAGTATGATGACAGATGAACTAGATGGAAGTGGTCATGGCCTAATCAAGGTACTATCCCAACTATTATCCTGACAGGATTGAGGGGGGGGGGAGTTGAAACAGATGAGATCAAATATGAGTCGTAGTCCACCGTGCCAGCTTGTTTGGTTCAGGACCTGAAAGAAATTTGTGTTCAAGGAAAATTTTTTGTTTAATACATGTTTCACTGTAAACAGTTTTAACTACATTTCTCTTATCACACTTTCCCAAGTAACAAATGCATATATCATTAAATGTTGTGGTCACATGGAGTAGTACCCCTGCTTCATATCTTGGAGGTTCCAAATCCAGTTCTAGGTCTAGTGAATGGTTACCCTGGCTGAAGTTCTTCAGAGATTTTTTTATCCTTTCTGGACAAATGAAGGGACAGTACTTCAAATTAGGCCACAACCACCTCTTCCAAATGCTTTCCAATTTATTACTTAGTAATCATCCAACCAACTGATGTACTATATTTTGAGGCGCTGACAACATTTTTAAATAACCCACAAATAAAGAAGCACAAAGGATTTATCACTTTTCACTGAAATGCCTCAATAATGCATCCAATCACTCATATTTACAACCTCAATGCAAGCACACGTGTGATCAAAAACAGAAAAGATCATATATTTCACTTACCATTCTCTTTGCATTTTACTGAGTCCAACATAAATTTTCAGTTCTTTCTTTGGTTTCAATCTTTTCTCAACTTCAGCTTTTAAACGACGCAGCAAGAATGGCCGTAAAACCTGAACCACAAACACATTACTATTCATATCAACAGCATCTTTATTTATTTCAGCCCAAATCTATAATAACTTCTAAAATATAAAACTTCTTACACCTTTACGTACTCTCAATTAGTCAGAACATGAGATACACAAGTACTAGCAAATATAACAGAAATTTCATAATAGGAAATTCAATTTAAATCAAAATCAAAGAGACATATTTCATAAAATTGGCAAACACAGAGCTCTGCTGATTTGTCTGCTTTGTTCTGAAAACAGCTCATGTAATTGTTAAATAGTTTAAGCATGTATCATGTTTCTCCTTTATCCAGTGCCCATTCAATAGTTAAAATCAAAAGGCTCTGAGAACATCAGGAGGACATGCCAAGTCTAAATATTTATGATGATGGTATCGTAACCTGATTCAGGAGGAAATTAAGAGGAGACTGAACTCGGGTAATGCTTGCTACCATTCAGTCCAGAACCTTTTATCTTCTCGTCTGCTGTCCAAAAACATAAAAATTAGAATATACAAAACTATAATTTTGCATGTGGTTCTGTATGAGTGTCTCTTGGTCTCTGACATTAAGGGAGGAATATAGACTGAGGGTTAACAATCAAGTTTCTTCCGTCAAATGTGACACTTTTTTAAGTTTTCCACCTCGTCAGCACCTGCCTTACATGTTTCGGCTCACCACGGAGCCATCATCAGAGGCATTTATAGTAGAAAAAGAAATCACCAACACACAAAACTTCACTTTGTCCAAGATAGCCACGTTCCAGTTAATTAAAATAATTACAAATANAATGGGGGAGACGAGGAATGCGTATAGGATATTGGTGGGAAAGCCAGAAGGAAAGAGACCACAGGGAAGACCAAGGCATAGGTGGGTGGACAATATCAGAATGGATCTTAAGAGAGATAAGATGGGATGGTATGAACTGGATAGATCTGGCTCAGGATAGGGACCAGTGGAGGGCTCTTGTGAACACGATAATGAACCTTCGGGTTCCATAAAATGCTGGGAAATTCTTGAGTAGCTGCAGAATTGGCAGCTCCTCCAGAAGGGCTCAGCTCCATGAGTAAGTAAGTAAGTAAGTAAGGTATGGTAACAGCAAATATTACTATCATTTTTGACATTCAAACAAATTAAGTTGTATTCAATTACAATATTTCATACAGCAGATTTGTTTTCTTCATTACGTACAACAAAGGAAAAGCCTCCTACTCAGTTCCATTAGATAGGGCTACTTTTGTTCACTGGAATGTCCAGTGATTATGAGTAGCTTCTTCTGATGAGTCCAGCTCATCCTAGCTCATCATTCCCTTCTTTACAACCGTATCTGACACAAAGGACGCAAAGGGACACTTGATATGCACAATCAAGAAAGCAACACACCAATTAAATGCAGGAACAGCCACATTTTAAAAACGATATGAAGAAAGCACCAACGACACACTGAAAAGAATGATATTCGATTAACATGCAGTGAATTAGACACCTTATAAAATTGTTGATTGATGATGGCAGTATATGGCTGAAACGTGTAGCATTGTGATAATGCATATATTTTCTAATATTTCATTAATTGTAATAACATTTTATACATATTACGATCATTGTATGGTTTAAGCATTATTATTGCACTATAGATGGAAACAACAGACTATAAATTAGGTACACTTTTATATAACTGCTACACTATACTGTTTTTTCTAGTTCACTGTGCCAAAATTTTATTAGAAGTAGTTCCAATTATTGTAGAATTTCATTAAGATAGTTTAAGGTCACGCCATAGCTCAAGCAGTTAGTCGCTGGCTTCCCATTGCGGCAGCCTGGGTTTGATCCCAGGTCTGGTCAAGTGGGATCTGTGGTGGACAAAGTGGCGGTGGGGCAGGTTTTCTCAGAGTGCTTTGGTTTCCCCTGTCAATCTTCATTCCACCAATTGCTCCACAATCACCCTCACCTATCATCTGGGGCTGGTACAATACGCCAGAAGTGGCCGAAGTACAAGGGACTTAGTCCCAACCCACTAGCAATAAAAAATAGGTTAAATTATGCCCTTTAAAATGATGCTCTATGTTTCCAGAACTTCATGGTTTTGTGGGGTCGTTATTAATGTTCACCACACGCGCCTGCTATCTGCCTATTCTCACTGATTCGCCCTCACTGTTTGTTCCACCGCGAGTGTGCCGGCAGATTTCGCTCCTCCGTAGTAGGCGGCTGTCCGTGCCAGCTGAGTTAGTTGTCTGCTCGCAGTGTGGCAGTTGCCGGAAGTTGCCTGGTTGCAGAGCGTGGTTGCTGGAAGACATCTGGTTGCGGAGCGTGGTCGCTGGAGTGGCGGCAGCCGCGCCAGTTGCCCGGTGAGTTGGGCATGACTGCCAGAGAGCCGAGGCAGCCGTCCCTGATGCAGTGAAGAGCCGATGACTCCGAAGACCGATTGCTCTGGACAAAGTGTGACGGCTGACTGGCTGATGTGGTCACTAACGATTGCGAGCTTTGGGCTCCGCCTTTTATACCATGCGTGATGGAGGAGCGAAACTTGCAGTTGCGATTGTGAGCACTGATTGGCTAGTGCGTGTAATGATCTGAATGAGGACTACACAGCGAGTGCTGTATAAATGCAAGCGTTGGAAGCAATGTGATTGGTTAGTGCACATGATGGTGAAAAGTGTGTTGGACAGCGGGTGCTGTATAAATATGAGAGCTGACAGCAATTGACTTAGGAGTGAGTGTTGTCTGCTGATTGGCGAAACAGCGTAATAGTATGTAGGATGTTCCCACAGTTTCTTGAATCGTGTGTGGAGTCTTCTTATGGTGTACAGTGGTTGTGTTGTATGTGAAGTCTATATTTAGCAGTGATACTAGGTGATTCATGTGGATGGTTACTTGAAACATGAAGAATCAACTGAAGAGGGAATAATTTTAACAAAATTCAACAATAACTGCAACTTGTGTTAACCAAGTTTTGGAACACTAATGTCACCTTAGAATGCTACTTACAGCATGAAGTCTTTCCACTAAAGTTGCGTCTCCAAGGAAATTATTGGTGTTGAACCATGCATCGAAGTCCTGTTAAGAAAGAATTACATTAACAAGAAACATAACTCACTACATTACAAAATGAGCCCTTAAAAACCTGATGTAATATAAATATAGAGCAACCATTATGAATGGTTAGCAGGTATTTGGAGGTATGCGGCAGTATAGTTGGTTGAGGCATTATGCTACAAGCTGGAAGGCCACGGGTTCGATTCCCAATGAGATTATTGGACTTTTTCAATTGACCTCATCCTTCCAGCCACACATGGCCCTGGGGTCAACTCAGCCTCTAACAGAAATGAGTACTACGAATCATCCTGGGGGTAAAGCGTGGCCGGCACATAAGGCTGACAAACCCACTGCCATCTGTGAGCTGACTGTTTAGAAAATGTGGGAGCCTCAGAATCTCACAACCCTAAGAAGTCTGTTACAGGGACAGCATTTACAAGCAGGTGTTCAAATATGCAATGGAGTTAACTTCTACCACCCACATGCTTCACTACCGTATCAGCATATATGTGAGTCAAAGGGGCTCCAGCATGACTTGTGTCACATTCTTTACAATATAAATCCCATTACTGGCATTGAGAACTGAAACATGAATAGAAAATATTTATGGGAATAATTAACCTATTAAACCCTCTTTCAATATCACCATTTTGTTCACAGAAAATTAGAAAACTTTTGATGAAAGGCCTCTGTTACCCTGACAGCCTTCAGATATGGAGTGCAACTGCATACAGAGGAACCTCGCTTAACGAGCATAATTCGTTCCAGAATCTTACTCTTAATGCGAAACAGTCGTTAAGCGAAACAATTTTTCCCATTTAAATTAATGTAAAACATGATAATACCAAAAAAATACTCAAAAACTTTTATGTATAACGTTTATTCAAAGAAATTTATATATACATTCTTAAGGAACGTGAATCATCTTCATCTTTTTTTTTCTATGCGGAATGAACCAACCTGGAATACGAATTCGATTTGCAGAAAAAAAATCCATATGAGGAGCAACCTTTCAACATCGTTGAGAATACGTAACCGTTGGGTAGATATTCTTGTCACTCCCTTTGAAGCATCTATCTCCTTAATCTTGTCCTTGTTCTCGAGGATCGTGCAAATCGTTGATGTAGACTGATTGTACGTGTATGTGTGTGCTACATCAGCCACGCTCACACCTTGTTCTCGGTTTTCAATGATTTTACGTTTCATTTCTACGGTTATTTTTATTCTCTTGTGGCTGTCTTTTTGCGGCTTTTTCTTCGGGGACATTTTTGCAAGGGTTATTAATCTTTGCACAAAAAAAAATCACAAATAATATGTCTGAACACAAGTTTGAAAAAATGTGTGATCACAAGCGACACTAAGATGCTAGCGGAACGAGTGCTAAACACAGACTGATGTAGCAAGTGCACGATCCGGGACTTCCCCTCTCATCACTCGTTATGCGAAACGTCGCTCGTTAAGTGAGTCATTTTTTTACAATTTGTTTTTCTCATTATGCGAATTACTCATTATGAGAGGTGCTCATTAAGCGAGGTTCCACTGTATATACTGACTAAGCAGTCACGGACTCATCAAGGGGTGGTCTTCCAGCTTGGAGGCTGGGCAGGGGACAAAAAATTCACCACCACAAACAAAAAGGGGAGGGGGATGTTCTGAAATATTACACAAGACCCTGAGACTTGTGGACACGTTTGTCCATTTGCTTAGTTGGTTAGTCAATTAATTACTAAAAAATGCTTCTATCTGTACTTGTAAGCCAGGATAGTTCAAGCATCAACTGACAGATAACAGTGATAATACAAAATCTGTCACTACACACAGACTGGCTCTGTGGAATTTGTAGTGGGGGCTTCTTTTCTGGGGCAAAGTGACTGCAGCCACACAGCTTCATCCTCCACCTGCCATTAAGACTGTATGGAGTTTTACCTACACGCTCTCACCTATCTTCATGCTTCAGAGTGCAAGCAAAGGGACACATGCTCCTGCATTTGTAATCAGGCGAAGTATATCAAGACACAGTGAAATCCCTGTTTAAGGTTTCTTCTGAGAGAAGTGGATTTGATCACCGAGGAACAACTTAAAATTTAAATGCCACACTTTCTAAATCATCATAGGATGAGCTGGATGGAGTTTATGTAACTAATTTTAAGCACTTTATTTAAAATGCTATAACCAATACAATTTTTAAAATAAACGAATAACTTTGTTTTTATCAGCAAAGGACATAGTGTCACATATTATAAGATTATGAAAGAGTTTCCAACTTTTTCACAAAGTGGTTCTGCATTATAAAATCATTTCTTCTTGTAACACTTGGCATACTTCTGTCTCTGGAGAGGTAAAACAGCTGGAAAAACCAAAAACCTTATTTCATTTTGCTCATATGGTTCACATTTTTGCTACAGTCTTCAGATCTTTGCCCTGCTGACTAGGGGAAGAGAAAAGTGAAGAGGAAATTCTTTGTTTCATACATCAGTGTCAAGACCTATAAACACATGACAACAGGTTCTGTTGTCATGTGTTTATAGGCTGTTCTCTACTGACGGGGGTTTGTCCAGTGATTGAGACTAGCTCTTTCTAATGGGGCCAACTTAGTAGGTCTATCTTGCCCAATCCACCTGAGGACAGATACAGATCCAGTCTCCGAAACGTTATGGTTTTTTTGTCTTATATATACCAGACGATGGATAGAGTCCAAAATAAACCTTACTAGTTAAGCGGCCTCCGTAGTCTAGGAGTAACGTTCCCACCTCATGACTCAAGGTACGCGGGTTCAAAACTTGGCGGAGGTCGTGGAATTTTTGAGGGCGGAAAAATTCAGGGAACAAGTCCTCCGGGAGGGACTTTGAGTCGTGGGTCCCGTGTTGTAGATTTACGGCACGTAAAAGATCCTCATGTCTCTAGGAGACCCCTGAGCAAAATTTGGCAAAGTTTCTCACTGAAGTAGTTTCCAACGCCTCCGGTAGATGGGGAAGCATTGGGTACCACTGCCAGAAGAGGGCCAACCTCGCTGGCATAATGGGGCTGATAGCAAGCACCAGTACTGGTAGGGTATGGCGACAGCAGAAATTAAAAGGGGGACGTACAATAGACTACTAGTCACGGTGCATGGGGAACCCACCCTCTCCAAAAATAATAATAATAATAATCTTATAGTTCTGTACAGCATACACCATCGTCAGAATCCTTTAAAGTCTATAAAAGGTTAAACAAAGTTAATTTAACACTGAAATTACTAACTTGGGAAGGTTTTAGCGAACGAAGTTGCCATTGCACATAAAACAGTATGGAAAGTCACTGCTCTGTATCAAACATCTGAACATTACCCACATTATGTAAATACTCACATCTGATGAGGTGAAGACCTCTGGCAAGAGGAAGTTGAGAAGTGACCAAAGTTCATGAAGGTTGTTCTGTAGAGGTGTTCCTGTCAGCAGGAGACGGTTCGTTGTTTTGAACTCACGAACAATTTCGGAGAGTTTTGACTTCTCGTTCTTGATACGGTGGGCCTCATCAATAACCATGTAACGCCAGTTGAACTTCTTGAATACTCCTTTCTCCTTGATTACCATTTCATATGATGTCACACACACGTCCCATTCACCAGGCATCAGCGTTTCCCTTATGAAAATATTCTAGTAAACAGAACATAAATATTTCACTTTAATACTTCAAAAAATAACTCTAACTGTCTGTAAACACTACAATATTTGCTAAAATAAAGTTCAGTATTAATAAAGCTGTGCTGGACATAGTACTGTCCAGTTAACTTTTCTCTGGGGCCGTGCCATAGCTCATTGTTTTTTCGACATGAAGGGATTGTTCACTTTGAATTTGTTCCTCTACACTACGGTCAACTCTGACTTTCACTGTAATGTTTTTTGAATCCTGAGAGAAAATATGCAATGAAAAATACTAGAACTTTGGTGCAGTCACAACTGGCTCCTTCATCATGACAATGTGCCCACCCACATGTCCTGAAAACCACAGAGTTTGTGACTAACAAGAGGGTTATTGTTCCCTATCCTCCCTACTCGCTGGACTTAGCCCCTGTGATTTTGCTTTGTTTTCCAAATTGAAAATGAAACTGTGAAACAGTGTCTTGACATCCAAAGGGAACCGCAAGCGGTACTTGACAGCATTAAGGAAAATGACTTCCACGGTGCTTCTGAAGCGTAAAAAAATGATGAGATCGCTGTATATGTTCCCAAGGAGACTGTTTTGAAGGAGATGGCAGCCAAAATTGAGTAAGTTAAGCCAGAATTAATGTACAGCAAACCTTCAACATTCACGACTTCATCATTTGCAAAAGCTGTAAATCCATGAAATGCCTAATGCATGAACTAGTCTCTATCTGTGTACCTCTGGCAATGCAAATATGTGAGTTTGCTGCTGAAGTATGGTACCTTGCTGTTTTCCTGTTTTAGTCTCGGAGATTCAGACTTTAGCGGTACAAATAAAAATGGAGACTGTTTTCATCACACAAACACCATCAACACCCTAGACACCACATCTAACATACCACAACCCAGTCCATCTTGAACAAAATCAAATTTAACGCCTTAAAGACTGCATTTCTTCCTAACAGTATATAAAAATTCATTTGATACCTCACAAGAAACACATTACATCTCTGCTACAAAGTACAACTGGTTAATGCTGTTTAGAGAGAGAAAAAATCACTGTTTACTGTGAAAACCATATGGAACACACAAACGTATCCTGTGGATACAATGCAGAGTTTTAGTATGTTATATCAGGTGGTACATATAGTGACCACGGGGCTTCAAATGGTTAAACAAAACTTCAGCGAGTGGACATACTAATACATATAAAGCCCTTAATAACTTACACCAACAAACACATGGGAGATCTGTAATTTCAGAATCAGTAAGCCCGTTTAAGACTTACAGTAAATTAGTTCTTAAAACAAAGACTACCGTCAGTGCTTCAGACTAAATCATGATTCTGTCACACTTGCATCAAGAAATACGATCACAAAATCTACATCTGTTTCATGACTTACATGTAATGTGCAGTTAGTTTATACAATTAAACTTGAAACAATCCTTTAAGAATCATCTAACATTCTGCAAGCTTTTCTTAACAAAATCTCCTCACCCTAGCCTCCTGGTCACCTATAAGACACACTGCACGTAAAGAAGGAACCCATTTCTTGAATTCGTTCATCCAATTGGCAAGTGTTGACTTTGGAACAATGACAATGTGTGGTCCTGGAATGTTCCGGTAATGTTTCATGTATCTGGGGATGAAATAACATTTGATGAGTCTTACACTGTATGTTCCTCAGGGTTCACAATTCCCCATAACTCTGTCAAGAGTCAATTTAGGCTAACCCTGTATAATGGCTATACCTTTATCTTTACAGTAGCAGTATGCCATATATACAAATGTATGAATGAAATGTACAACACCAGAAAGTAGACTGAACTGCTATCTAGTGGCATTTTATAAAAACTGTGTAACAGAAATAGAAACAATGTAGTATTTGATTAAACAAATCAGTTTAATTCCAAAAAACATCATGACAACAGCAAATGAACTCAGTAAAAGAGTCTATTAATTGACTTTATGCAATTGTATTATTTAAATAAGTGATTATAAAGTTATATAAACACTGCTGGTAAAAGCCAATGAAAAATAAAATGAATGTGAACAGATGTTCTAATAGCAGCAAATATTAATATAGTTTCTTTCAGATGCGACACTATCTAGTTTGGTAGATATATACCAATGTTTTGGAGGAACCTACTGCCTCCATCTTCAGGGTAGAAGATTGACCGTCTTTTACTCTGTAGATAGAGATACCAGGTTCATCTGAAACATTAGTATATGTCTACCAAACTACACTGCTTCACAACCAGACAACTGTAGTCTTAAAAAAATGAAGTTACAATTCTTACCCCAGCAATGATATTGTCTGCAGTGTTTTACCGAGACCCATTTCATCAGCAAGGATTCCGTTTATGCCATTTTCATACAGCGAAATCATCCAGTTGAGTCCTCGCACCTAAAGAACAAAAAGGTATTATATAAATAATACAGTTGAAATACTGTTTTTTTATTGGTAGTGGGTTGGGACTAAGTCCCATGTACTGTGACCATTCTGGCCTATTGTACCAGCCCCAGATGAAAGGTGAGGGTGATTGTGGAGCAATTGGTGGAATGAAGATTGGCAGGGGAAACTGAAGTACTCGGAGAAAACCTGCCTCAGCGCCACTTTGTCCACCACAAATCCCACTTGACCAGACCCGGAACTGAACTCGGGCTTCCGCGGTGGGAAACCAGCAATTAACCGCTTGAGCTATGGCGCAGCCTGAAATACTGGTTACAAGCTTTCTGGTGCTAACCTCATGTAAAGACAGTGCTGCAAATGGTAGGTAGAACTGGCTCACTTTGGTAATTTTGCTGTACATTTATGAACACACTGAGCTTCAAGGCACCAATGGAAATGTGTCAGCTCACACAGTACATGACGGCAGGTGTTTGCAATTGTCTCACCCCCCTCTCTTCACTGCAGGAATGAACACGAAAACCTTTCACACTTACTTGATAATCTCTCATTTCTCCATTTTTTACATAATGTGGAGACTGGTCAAAGCTGATAATCGTTCTCCTACTTGAATTTGTTTCAGCCAACAATTCTTCATCTTCTTCCTGTTCTGTTTTTCGATGACGATGACTGCAAGAGAATAATTCATAAAGACCAATCATTTCCAACAGGAACAGAAGCAATATTCAACTATTTATTTTATAATGCCACATTAACAGATAATACGATAATGACAAAACAAAATCAAATGATGGCACAAACAGGATGTAGGAAATGTTGCTACACTGAATATTAGAGAACATCAAATATCAAACTGAAAGAAGACAATAGATGGTGTCTGCAATGTCGGCACCATCACTCACTCTCCTGCTCCAGGGTCTCCTTTTGGTTGGTCTGGATTCTTTCTTGGTCTGCCAGGTTTCACCTTTAGCGGACTTGATGGTGGCTTGTCTCGTTGATTGTTGGACATGAAATGCGTGAAGATCTCTGTCTGTTTTAGAAGGTAATCAAACCGTTTACTCCGATCTGTTTCCTATAAAGAAATAATGCTGAATGAGTTTTTCATAAATTCAAAACCCATCTCACAATAAGATACAATATAAGAACAAAAATGCCATCTTTTGTGATGTGATAAATACAGTCTGGTACAACAGAGTGATGTTCTGGCATACTGTTTCCATCTTCAGCCTCAGAGAGTAGGTCAAAAATGCAAGGAAGCTTACACTATGACCCTAAAGTTGAAGACAGCATGTTCCTCCAAAACACAGGTCAACTTCTGCTGGACTACTTGATGTCACATCCCAACAGACAGAATTCTTGAACATAAATTAAGGCAGGGATGCTGAATTGTTTTCACACTGCCTAATAAAAGATAAAAAGGTAAAGCTATCCCTGCAAAAGGCCGTGGAGGCCCATAGGGTTGTGAGACGTTGAGGCTCCAACATTTTCTAGATAATCAGCTCACAGATGGCAGTGATGTTGTCAGCCTTAAGCGCCAACCAGCCACCCTTTACCCCCCAGGAAGACTCCTGGTACTCAATTCTGTTAGAGGCTGAGTTGACCACAGGGACATAGTGCTGCTGGAAGGTTTAGGTTAATTGAAAAATCCAGTGACCTCCTCAAGAAACAAGCCCATGACCTTTCAGCCCATAGCATAGTGCCTTAACCAACTATGGTACAGCATGGCCCACCACATTGCCTGATACCTAAGTTAAATTAAAGATGGTGCCACCTATCCTCACTATTCTAGTATGGAATGGTGGACGTCATGATATATCTACTGCTACACATTTTTCAATGTTAAATTCTTAGTTTGTGGATGGTTTTCAGAGTGACACAAATGACACTAATTTTGTATAACTGCTTAAATTTTACTTTTTATATTTCATGGTTCAAAATAATCAGCAACATGTAATCTTTGTGTTTTCTCATAGCTGTCTCACTTGGGGTAAAAATATTTCCTTGTATTCTGGGGAGGATACATAAAGTAACAGAAATATATTTTTTGAAAAAGAACTGTTGCTGCTACTGAATTACTATGTACTTTCAGCAATTATCTGTGCATGCATTATTCAGTTTTTGGCTTACCCACATAATTCTTTTAGGCCTATTTGCAACCCTTCAGGGTGCCTACTGAGTTCACTCAATCCATCTGTCTGCATACATGAAACAATAACCACTAGATGAATTTTCATTAAATTTTACATTTTCATTTAGACTGGGCAATTTTAACAAAATCTTCATATGAAGAAAGCAGTCTTCTGGGATATATACATATACACGGTGCCAAATCCCAGAAGACTGCTTTCTTCATAGTGACCGCCGTGAAAGCCTCAAATCTTACAAAATCTTCATATGATGACTTTAGGTCCATTTCTGTATGTATTTGAGGCTTAACTTACCAAACAACACGTCAAAACAAAAAATGTTCAGAAAAACACTGCAGGGCAAATTGAAATTCACATTCTGTGTTTGATACACTTTCAGAGATAAACTGAACACTATAAGCTATTTCTATATTCAACAATACTTTGAATTATATGTATTTTTATTTAATGTGTGCTTCTTTCTTTCTTCATTATCACCAACAATCAGATGTATGATGCATTCATATAGATAAAACCTGTAATCACTGATCTCAGCCAATATGTGAGTGCCAATGCCTCGCCATACCCGATATAATGGATACACACATGGAACTCATGTCTGTGAATCTACTTTGTATGAGAATTTAAGGTGTACTTACAACTTTTGTTTCATAGTCCTCAGTTTTGCCTCTGGATGACAGTGTATCGGCTGAGGAAGCATTNTCTGAAAAAAAAAAAAAAAAATGAAAATAAAATCTAAGAAATCACATAGCAAATTCTACTTGGGATACTATATTTTTCCTAGCATTTCATGTTGATAAACTTAATAATATGCCTTCATTTTAGAATGCACAATGAGTTCCTGCAAATAATTTAAGACAACCTAATGTCATGGTTGGGTCTGTAGCGCTAATGTTTCACATTCAGAAGTTTCAGGCTTAAATTCTGGGGCCCAGATATCAGCTAGCCTGAGTGGAGTTCCTCTGTCCTTTGAGACAAATGCCAGGAATCATACCTCAAACTAGGCCCTAAGTGCTTCCGCATTCTTTCCAATTCTTTATTCACCAACTATCCTATCACTTGATGCTACTAGTACTGAGTCCACACTACAGACAACCCTATTAAACAAAGCATAAATAAATAAAACCAATTTAAGGTAAGAAAACTATGACTGTGTTAAAAATTTTCTCCACTGAATATGGTAAAATGTGAACAATTAAATGATCCCTTCCAGTCTTACTACGCCAACAGCAACACTACAGAAGAAAAGTCCTGTTCCTGAATGGTGCTATTAGATAGGCACATAGTTGTAACAGCACAATATGGCTTTCTCCAAGTTGTAACTATGTCTTCATTTCCTATCAGCATATGTATACTGGAAGTATATTGAAAATAAAATCTAGTCACTTTTTAATGATGATGTGGACCACACCACAGCTCAAGCGGTTAGTTGCTGGTTTCCCATTGTGGCGGTCCGGGTTTGATCCCAGGTCTGGTTAAGTGGGATTTGTGGTGGGCAAAGTGGCGCTGGGGCAGGTTTTCTCCGAGTACTTCAGTTTCCCCTGCCAATCTTAATTCCACCAACTGCTCCACAATCACCCTCACCTATCATCTGGGGCTGGTACAATAGGCCAGAAGTGGCCGCAGTACAAGGGACTTATTCCCACCCCACTAGCATTAAAAAAAAGTAATGATGCAATAGTCTACATCACTGATAACGATGTACCCTTGTTCCCATGGCAGACACAGTATACAGACTGTACACCTAAGACGAATTATTCCTGGGGACCTGCCCAATCAGGCCAGTAAAATTTCATTCAGCATTTAAACAGTATACTACACATAACAGGAGTCAACAATGTTATTCTTTTCATTTCATGCATCCTGTTGTGTTAGTATATACAATTCTGTATTGGAGTCCATTGTAACACAACATAATGGTCAAGGTTAAAACTACCACGCTACATGTTTCGGCTTCTTAAAGCCATTATCAGGAAAAACAAATGATTATTATAGTCACACACTATTGAACTGCAATTGTGAAAGTAAATCTGGATACTTGATAACTGTTACATTATAAAATACATGGTATAAAAATACAATGAATTATAAACTTCTTATAAAACGAAAGTTATGGAGTAAAACATGGTTAAAAACTCTTCATGTGAGATTGCATAACATGAAGTCAGTTGCTGCAATCTTGTTGTACACCCGCGGACATAATGGTATATTCAGGACTTGTATACATATGGTAAGTTGCTTGGAGGACCGTGGTATAGATGTGGTATTATATCACATTAATTGTTCGGTCAGTGCCTCATCTTAAAACGTATTCTGTCCGCTCTGTTGGGAATATAGATTGCAACTGTTCCAGACATATGATGATGCTGCTCTGACAAAGTGGTGTGTTCCTACATAATGCTACCAACCTTAGCTGGCAAATATCCGTCACATCTTCTTTATGTAAAAGTTGCACTGCATGATTTACATTTTGTTTGGCTTTTTTCTTTAAAGAATTTTTGTTTCCATTTCACCACCAAATTCATTTGGGTCAGGTTCTAGTATGGTGGAAGAGGATAGTGTTAGTGCTCTTGTTCTGATGTTAGTATGTTGGGGAGCCAGCATAACTCTTTTGGTATAGTGACTGGCTGGATTGTGGGGTCGGAGTTCGAATCCAAGTAGGGTCAAGAATTTTCTCTTCTCCATATCATCCAGACCAGCTCTGGGGCCCACCCAGCCTCCTATCCAATGGATAACACATGCCCTTTCCCCAAGGGTAAAGCGGCCAGGGCGTGAAGCTGACCACTCACCTCTGACTAGTGCTAAGGTCAAGAAAATGTGGGTCTAAACATCCACTCTCCCATACACCTTCATGGCGTAGTGCTTAATTAGTTAAGCACAGGGACAACTTTACCTTACCTTTATCTTTAAATCAAGAGGTTACATTTCTGTTTTTCATTGCAACTTCAATATGGTAGAACCAGAGGTTAGGTTTGTGTTTTAGTTAGGCTTTTAGTATGTATGACACATCAGGTTAGGGCTTTGGATAGAGGTTCCAAAGTGTGAGGCATCCCACTCCTAAACAGTGAAGAGATCATTATGGCTGATCCCGAACACAACCAAGATTCATTCAGACATGTGGCTGTATGATTATATGTAACAGGTTACCAAAAGTGAATAGAAAAATGCATCCCTCCTAGGATACTGTTCCAAACACAGAGATATGTACACTAACAATGTTCTTGCTCTGATAACAAAAAACACTTCTTTTATAATACAAAATGATGCTGTTATGTTTAAACAGCGTGCAATTTCAGTAAACCACAGGGAATTATTTTAGGTCCCAAAATTATAAAACATTTGATCTGGACGAGGTTGAAGCTTTGGTTATAGTTTCATTACAGCTGGGGCTTTGATAATGGTTTTACTATTGTACAGTACCATATATATATCTAAAGTAACGTTATCCTTGTATTCTAACAGGCTGTGGAGGCCCACGGTTGTAAGACGTCGAGGTTCTCTCATTTTCTAGGCAATCGGCTCAAAGTTGGCAATAAGGTTGTTGGCCTCACACACCGGCCACCATTTACAGCCCAGGATGATTCCTGGAACGCACCTCTGTTAAGAGGCTGAGTCGACCCCGTCATAGTGTGGCTGGGTCGATTTAGTCAACTGAAAAACCCAATTACCTCATCGGGAACCGAACCCGCGTCCTTCCGGCTTGAAGCAGTGCCTCAACCAACGATACCGTGTGCACCTTCTTTAATAATACGGCGGTTCCGTTACTATATGGCAGTCCGCGACGTCGATTCTTCAAAGGGCCAACGTCCTAAGACTGCTTGTCACCATACTCAGAAAATGTGCCGTTCTCCGATATACTGTCTTCTACACTATACTACAACTTCTATCACTATGTACTGTTCATTTAGATTGCTGTTAGACTCGCAAATCTCACTTCATTATCATTACATTTCAAAAACGCTCGGATCATGCAGAATGAGTGCAGTAGTCATGTTTCACTTTTCTCTAAATCGTTATTATTAACAGTTCATAAGAATATGTACTGCCGCAAATACTTTGCAAGCCAGCAACATTTAATAATGAAATGTGGTACAACTCTTACCGAATTTTCCCCAGTGTCACCTGTATCCATGCTGTCTTCTGGTTTTGACATATTGATTACTAGTTCAGATCTTATACAAACACACTGTCTTTCCCGTCTTGTCAACTGGAAATCACCACGGAACTTCACCGAACAATACAGGTAAAATATGGCGGGCCAAGAAATTACATTAATTCATATATATAACAATAGATGGCGGAGATATAAAGCCGCATCCGCGCGGTTGCGACCGGTTCCGACGGCCATGTGCAATGCGTGAAACAAAGGAGGGGTGTCTGGGTCGTCTGGGTAAATGTGTATGGGTGTTTATTGTTTTGGCTTGTCGGTAACTTCATGTAAATCATATTAACAAGGTACTGAATAACGGTAGCATTTGTTGTTGTGAAGTGGTGTTTGATTAATGACGAGTTTGGATGATTAGAGATATTGCATTTATGCCTTACAGCACAAAATAAATAATTTCAGTTCTGTGTATATATTTATTTCTAGTTTCAGGCTTAGTGGCTTGTGCTGGGAGACGACAAGTATTACGCCTTATAGAACCATTTACAGAAGATGGTATGTTTGTCCTAGACGATACACAGAATTGCCTTTTGTAGATTAGGAAACTGTGAGGTGGTAATGTAGATTCATGAGAGCCTTAGAAGGGGAATGTCTTTGGCATGAGGGGTCATTGCTTGTTTGCTTATGAACCAGTTACACTGGTCATAAAGAATTTGCTTTGGGTTTCATTCAGTTGGGCTTATAACTAAAATTCTGTACATTTGTGCACCTTCACCCATCATAATTTGAGCACTTTTATCAAATAAAAACACGATTTGTGGAAATTTATGTATAGCATCAACGTTTCATGTTCATACTATTTCAGTCTGGGAAGCATTCTGTAGTAGGCTTTCTTTGAGGGTCTTAAAACTGGATCAGAGTAAAGAGCTCAGGGGATTGCCTGAGATAAATGTATGAAAAATGTAGTGTGCTTTGTGATATTTTTCAAAAGAAACTGGGATACAGTTGGAAGTAATTATCACTTCGAATACCTATGATCCATTTTCTGGCAACACTTCATTTTATAAGGACTGCTGGATAAAGAAATTTCCAGTCATTTCTTACATCCCAGTCTTAACACTTAAAATTTTTTGTCATTTCATCCCTTTCATTATGATGTGTTCCAGTTCTGGTTGAGCTGTCGTGTTCTGGGTAATTTCATAAATCGTCCCTTCAAATTTTAATTCTGATGTCCTCAATATCATTGCTGCATCCATTCTTTTTACATGGCCAAACCATTGTAATTGTTACTTTTTTCTGCCTATAAATATTGAATTCTAACTCATTCTCTAAAAATATTTTATTTTAATATTGTAATAAACACAAAATACTAATTAACTAACTTCATGGACCTGAGCCGTTCTTGAGAAGCCTGCAATTATGCAGCTACTCAAGAACTTCCCAATATTTTATGGAACCCAAATGTTCACCACCATGTTCACAATAGCCCTCCACTGGTCCCTATCCTGAGCCAGATCATCCAGTCCATACAACCCAATCCTATCTCTCTAAGATGTATTTTAATATTATCTACCTACCTACATCTTGGTCTTCCTAGTGGTCTCTTTACTTCTGGCTTTCCCACCAATATCCTATATACATTCATCCTCTCCCCCATTCATGCCACATGCTCTCCCCATCTCATCATCCTTGACTTGATCATTCAAATTAAACTTGGAGAAGAGTACAAGTTATGAAGTTTTCTCCAATCTCCTATCACATCATCTCTCTTTGGTCCATGTATTTTCCTCAGCCCCCTGTTCTCAAACACCCTCAGTCTGTGTAAACACAAAATACTAATATGTTTTAATTCTTAGTCTTGAGAAGGCATCTGAGTGTATTTTTTGATTTGAAACAATAAAAATCATACCTAAAATTTGTACTAGGTAAACCTAAATAAGGCAGGAGAAATATTGGAACACATCCTGTGTACATCTTAAACCTGGGTTCTTTCGAGTCTTCTGTATTGTTCATGAAAACAGAATCATTGGTAAATTCATTCACGTTTGTCAGGCATCACAATTCAGGAAACAGACTACAGGTACCACTGCTACTGCTGCTACAGTGACTGGTGCAAGGAAGAAGTCATCTGGTCCCAAGTTTGAACTAACAGAAGAACAGAAAGCGGACATAAAGGAAGCATTTGACCTATTTGACACTGAAGGAAATGGGAAAATTGAAACAAAAGAATTAAAGGTATTGCAATATTACTCATACATCACTGAACTTAATTTGTTTTAGATCTGGGTTGAGGTTAGGTAAAGCTATTCCTGTAACAGGCCATGGAGGTCCATAGTGCTGTGAGATGTCGAGGCTCCCACATTGTCTAGACAGTCGGCTCAGATGGTGGTGAGGTCAGTCTTACGCACCAGCCACCCTTTACCCCCAGGAAGATTCCTGGTATTCATTTGTGTTTGAGGCTAAGTGTGAGGCCATAGTGTGGCTGGAAGGATTAGGTCAATTGAAAAAAAAATCCAGTAACTTCATTGGAAATCGAACCAGTGACCTTCTGGCTTGTATTGTAGTGCCTCGAGAGTTTCTTCATTTGTAGTTGCGTTTTTCTGTTATTTGCAGATAGCAATGAGAGCCTTAGGATTTGAACCAAGGAAAGAGGAGATTAAGAAAATGATTACAGAAATTGATAAAGAAGGATCAGGTAAGTGAATATATGGATTTTTAATACATCAGGAAGTGAATAAATGGGAATTGCAGGGACTTTCTCAGGGATAATATGCTTACAGCATGAGGTCTCAAATATGAGAAGCTTTTTGTCTGTATCCCCTATGTGCTTTCATAGCACTTTATTGTACTGCGTTGGCTTCTAGTTGCCCCAAGCACTCAGACCACTGCTTCATCTGTTGTGTACCCCCCAGTGTACTCTTTGAAGAGCCAAAACCCTCCAGACTGAGGGCCTTGTAATATCCCCCGGCTCTTCCCATGCCAAGTCAAAGGTTTTTAATCTGTGTTGGAATTAAGTCAGATATTGCCTTCATGTTAGAGATAGGATGGATTGGATTGATCTGGCTCAGGATAGGTACCAGTGGAGGGCTCTTGTGAACACGGTAATGAACCTTCGGATTCCATAAAATGCTCAGAAGCTCTTGAGTAGCTGCACAATTGTCGGCTTCTGAAGAAGGGCTCAGCTCCGTGAGTAAGTATTGTTTTCACAGTATAGTACTTGGGCACAGGGACTACTTTACTGTTTAACTTTGATACATTAATGTATTGTTACAGCTATATTTATAACCCATACACATGTCTGCAAATGTTTGGTAAACCAAGATGACCTGTACGAGTATTTCATAATTCATACACACTTTTTTATGACCACTGAAAATGATGCCTAAGGAAAAGGATATAACACGAAGATAAGGAAAATTACATAATGAAGATTTGAGGTTTTCACAGTAATGAAGATTCATCTGGGTTTCAGGGAGGTCTTGGGTTCAAATTTTGGCACAGAGACCAGCTATCCTGTTTGAGTAATATTATATTGTAGCATCCTCTTGCATAGGAGAGAATATAACCCAGCAGCTCATACATGCACATTGAGGGATCAACGTATGCAACGAAACAGAATACAGCAGTGTTCTCGCCCAGTAATTTTAACACCTGATGATGACATTGGTTGAAAAACGTAGTGATAAACTTTTAAAGCGAATGTCTTTCAGTAAATTTTATAGAACATAGTGTTGCATGTGAGACTGTAAAAAACTAATTGACACTAATTGATCCTGTCTGAGGAGGTTTTATTCAGGTTTACTAAATCACACCTTTCAGATTCCTGTTAATACCTTTTAACTTAGGTCACTACCACTTGCCACTACATCCTTTCCAATTCATTAATCACTTATCATCCTACCATTTAATGCTGTATAGTTTGAGCTACTGACAGCATTGCGAAATAAACTATAAATGAAAAAATAAGACAGTGTTATAGTATAGCAAACGGGTACCAGTGCTTCAGGGGAACTGGCTCCTTCTTGAATCATGGATCATGAATGGAGACAGTGTGAGGTCATTGGTTCAGATCTTTCCCTGGAGACTGGTAATCCTGGCCGAGGTTTTTCACAGTTTTCCTTGCTTACTCCAGACAAATGTTAGGGTGTTTTTACGCCATGCAAGAACTGTTGAGCCACAGAAATCTGTAAACATTGCGATTATGCAACAATATGGTAAGTGGTGTTTTCTCCATGTCAAGCTGTTCTGCGCTTGTTGCTAGGCAGCACTGCAGTAAACGCATCTCAACAGCAGCTAATTGGCACCTTGCTGGGCAACGCCTCTGTAGACGTGATGATTATGTAACAGTGGAGCAAATTGTATTTTCCATGTATGTGTGTGAGTTTATAGGACTGGAATTCCTAAGAAGTCACTTCAAGGTGCGAGCCAGCTGCGGGAGGTTCATAGTGGGAGACCTAAACATGTGATTTGATGGTTTCATGAGTGTGTTAGTTGAGAATTCAGCCAGTGAAGACATTGCGGGAATTGAAGGCTTTATTTGGAGTGTGACCTCCAGCGAGACTGAAGAATGAGGACTAGTGCAGACAGAATGAACAGATTCGTGTGGAGATAGTGTGCATTGTAGTTATGACCTGTAAGTGGTAAATAAAACAAATTACCAATCTGAACCACATCACAGCCACCCAAACATGTGGTAGTATAGTACCTCAAATTACAGAATTACCAAATCCTTCCTTATCATTTTCAGTTGATTCCTCACTGACAATTCTGTCATTGGTTGCTGTATAGTTTAAATTTATGATATCATTAAGTAACCATAAATGAAAAGTAAGACACCTTCCACCCTGAAGATGGATATAGTATGTTCTTCTGAAACATTGGTACCCAGCTGCCGTACTAGAACATGGTGTCATAATCCAGAAAATTATACATTATATGCAGAACTTCTTAATTAATATTTATATACAGGGTGTTTCACGACTTTAGGGCATAACTGCAGGAGGTGATTTCCTAGGTCTTTGTGATCAGAAAAGTTCATATAAATATGTGTCCGATTTTGGACGGTTACGGAGTTATGACCGTGTTAAACTAAGAGTAGAAGGTAATGATTACTGACAATAAATGGAACAAAATAATAAACCAGCATAATTCATGATACATTTAAAGTATGAATGTAAAGTTAACTTCATGAAATTACCTTTAATTTGAATTTATTGGTGCTTAAAGCTGAGTTTCGATTAATGCCACCGCCGGCCGCAACACAGGATGCTGCTCAGTTGTGAACCATGCTGGACATACCAACCCACCCCGCCTTATGTAGCTCTCAAGTGTCAAGATAACGAGAATGCTCTGTCTGTAGCTGGCTAAAAATAGCACCCCGTCAAATGATAGACACGGTTCACAGGAGGACGTGTACAGGAATGAAAAAACGGTCATAACTCCGTAACCATCCAAAATCGGACACATGTTTATATGAAATTTTTTGATCACAGAGACCTAGGAAATCACCTCCTGCAGTTATGACCTAAAGTCGTGAAACATCCTGTATTTAATATTTCAGTGGTGATTAAATTAAGTAGGAGAAGATGGACAGGGCATATAGCATTCATAGTTTAAATGAGAAATGCATATAGACATCAAGGGAGCATCAGTGTGAGAGACCTGTGTGAAGACAGGACAGATTCAAAATTAATTTAGAGGAATGGAAGGGGTGGGAGCAGATTTAAGTGGCTCAGGATAGGATGTAGTGGTGGCCTGGTAGGGACAGAGTGATGAATCTTTTTCTTCAAACCAGAGGATTTCTTGATTGGCTGAATAATATAGTGATGTAAATTATTTTGTGGTAATTTATACTGATTTCAGGTTTTCTGTCTTATGATGAATTTCTTGGCCTGATGACTCTGAAAATGGCAGAGAAAGATTCTAAAGAAGAAATTCTGAAGGCTTTCAGATTATTTGATGATGATGAAACCGGCAAGATTTCGTTCAAGAATTTGAAGCGTGTTGCAAAGGAGTTGGGTGAGAACCTAACAGATGAAGAGCTACAGGTATTCTCTCTCTCATACACACACACACACACGCATGTGTGCCAACCTATAGAATGTTACAGTTGGGTGGCTAGCATTCCTGCTTTGTATTTTGGAGGTTTCAGGTCATAGTCCTTAATTAGTTAAGCACTGGGGAAACTTTACCTTAGTTGAGGTGATTTGGTTAATTGGCAATTCATATAGTTGGGATTCAGAAGCAGTGTTGTGCTGTATATATTGAAACTAAACAGCAAACGTATACTTAGACAGCTCTTCTTTCGTCAGGAAATGATTGATGAAGCTGACAGAGACGGGGACGGAGAGATAAACCAAGAAGAATTTCTTCGGATCATGAAGAAAACTAGTCTGTATTAAGATAATTGTTCAATGTCTGTGTGTTGTATTGTCATATTTATTTGTGTTGGGTGCCGCCATTTCAGTTAAGACTGATGTCAAACAATTCCCATATTTCTGTATAAAGAAATATCAAGTATGTTTCATAATCTTACTATTGGTGGTTCTTGTCTGTGAACCACAGTGAATGTGCTAAAATAGTGTAAAATAAAAATTAATATATTTTTGTTACACACATTGCCATATCCAAATGTTTGTATGCAGATATTGCCTCATTATTCAAAGTAAATAGTTCTGTGCCTACATTAAGAATTTCAGTTTTTGACATTCCATATTCTTGGTGTGTTTGTATCATACTCAGGAAAATATTACCAGATTTGTCCATTGTTGCATAAAGTCTGAATTTCTACTTATGATCAGAAAAGTACTGTTAATATTTGAATTATGCTGTGTCTTAAAGGTCCTTTGAGGATGTGTCATCATCACATAGTGATATTGATCACTACATCATCATTAGAAAGTCATTAGATTCTTCCAACATGATATGGCATCTAAAATCGCTATACAAGAGATACCACTGAACATAACAGGACTTCCACAAAATTGACTACCTAAGATGTCATACCTTCGAAGATGTTTCAGACAGATGATATTAAATTTCTTAAGCCCTCGTGTGTGCAGAATTTTCCATAAAAATGTCATTTGCATATTGTGGCCCCATATCAGCCACTACAGATGTATCTGCTAGGTTCCTTTGCAAAAATTTGCTTTTTTGCGGGATTTCATAAAACACAGGCATACATATCAAGAAACAAAGTTTTGTCAAGAGTATGGTCTTCTGGTTTGAGATGTATAGCATGATAGTTGGATATTAATATTAACGTGTTTGCAGTAGACATTTCCATGGTAACGCAATAACAGTGGGCCGTTGTGTAGGGATTGATGAATCAACAAACGTGTTTCCCCAGAGATGGAAGGTTCGTTGCATAACAACAGTCTGTCGAAACAGCAGAAACCGAAATGTTGAAAATTGCGCATTCTATCTGGTCTGGAAACCACCTACATATAAGGGGGTTGAATGCATTCACCGAGAGAGTCTGAAGTCTAGCATTTGCGAAGTGAAGTAGAGAGGCGACTCAGCAGAAGGATTGTGACATAAGTGTAGAAGCAAAGGAGAATAAATATTCACTACATCCTTTACCTACGTGAAGTTATTTGTCGTGCCGCATAGGCAACATGCGACAATATTTAGGAAAAATGTACCGCCCCCATTTTGAGGGTAAAAGAGTGAACGATGTATGGAAGTATGGTGGAGGTACTGGGAATGGAGGAACAAGATCAAGGCTTAGAGCGCACCAGTAGGAACCTGGCCCTAAGAAAAGGTGCTGCCAGAAGACCATAACTTTATTACTAACACTGTGATAACCTAAAATCCCAAAAGTAAAATAGAGTTAAGAGTAGCTACAAGCAGTACTTTTTTTTTTCAGAGAGGCGTGGTGGTAGTGATATGACAAAAGGGACAAAACTCCAGTTTTATTTTATGTTTCAAGGAATAGCATTGGTAGACTTTGCTGCTGCACATGATCAAAAAAGTGACTGGGTACAGGTGTTAGACCTCTTAGAGACAATCATAGCACACTGTATCACAAGAAGCTATAGTTGAAAAACTGTATAACCTACAGCTTATATTCTGAATTAACATTTAACATTAAAAATGACACTGATGAAAACAAAATCGCACATTAATGTACTTGCCATGAAAATTTAAAATGATTACTGTTGGTTCTTGGCACTGTGTGGATATGGGCAATGTTGCCACATTTCAGGGGTAGAAGCTACATCATCTTCAGGGTTGAAGTGAGTAAGCTGTGTACATGTAGATTATTGGTCAAACAGAACCATGGGAGTGGGATACTGGTTCCTGGTCTGGGCCAGCCAGCAGAGTGAACAGGGAAAAGTTGTCAGACTTCTTCACCTCTGAAACACTGGCAACACTGCCCAGAAGAACAGAAGCAGCATCAATAATTAATAATACAAGCCTGTAGTCAGTGTTGATTATTGTTTTATGCTGCTGTTTTAATTTATTTATTTAGTGACCTGTCATTATTTCAAAGTGTAGTGTCAAATGTTACGATGATTTAATGAATAATGAATTGGAGAGGGTGAGGAAGGAAGCAGTCATGGTCTAATTTGAAGTATTCCCAGCATTTTTCTGGAGGGACTGAGGAAATCCATGACAAGCCTTAGACAGAATAGTCAGTGGTTGAGTTCAGGTGATTAGTAGCCAGATTCATGTGAGATTTGTGGTGGACAGAGTGGCAATAGGACAGATTTTTGGTACTTCAGTTTCCCTTGCCAATTCTCATTGTACCAAATGCTACATTTCTCACCTGTCATCTAGGACTGGTACAGTGAGTGGATCTCCATGTGGCCTAAGTAGCAAGCGTCTTAGCTGCACCCCACCTTAAGAATATGAAGTAGAGAGCGGTTGTCTGATTGCTGCAAAAGAATCATGCAAATTTCATCGTGTCAGTATGACCTGGAAATGAATTTCAGAAACCATTATGCAGCAGTGCAGTTACGTATGTTATTGAAATGAGCACATGGAAAAATGGAAGGTTCACAGGTAGTTCTAATTAATTTTCTACTCTTAGTTTGGTAATATTAATGGACTCTAATGCTACAAATATACCAGCAGTTTGCTTTGACCAAAACAGTAGCTGGAGTTGAAGGGTGACATAGTAACATCAATTAAAGAATTAATATAATTTTCTATAAGCAAGTATAATTAAGAAGAAAGGAGTCTTCTGGGAGGTGGCACCATGTAGATGTGGTGTTAACCGACATTTCAGAGGAACATATCGCCTCAAACTTCAGGGTAGAAGGAAAAATAAGGAAAAATGCAAGCGAAGAGACTGTGAGAGCAGGTGCAAACAAGTGCAGTTAACACCACATCTACATGGTGCCACATCCCAGAAGACTGCTTTCTTCATAGTGACCGCCCTGAAACCTCAAATCTTACAAGTACAGTAGAACTTGGTTATAACGTCATCAAAGGGACCTAAAAATAGTGTCGTTATAAACGAATGTCGTTGTAACCGAAATGGGCACTTCCACAGTAGCCTTATGTTAGTCACGTAAAAATCTACCAAAAACCGAGTTAAAATGTTGCATTTTTTAGTGAAATACGTAGTTAAGTACAGACTAACGTAACATTAANTGCACTATTCACGCAGTCCCACCCCACACCCTTGTTTTCGCATAAAACCCACGCTCCTCTTGCAGCCCGCGGTCGTATTCTTCCAGGAGAGTCACGTCAGCAAATAGAGAAAGTGAGGGTGGGCAGACACATCGAACTTTCCCACGATATCAGAGAAATTCAGGAGTGAAAATGACGTTACATACGAGGTTGATGCATTTGTGCATGTCGTACTAAGCAAGGTATAAAAACAGTTGCTTTATGAGGAATTAGTTTGTACCATTGAATATTTGACGCAATAGACAAGGTGTCGCAGAAACCGATGTTGCTATAACCAAGTTTTACTGTATAATTAAATTAGTCCTAGCTGGAAAAGATAGATAAAAAGAATTTAGATAAATCTGAGTTACATTGTGAAGTAAATAGACATTCAGTGAAGAAAGAAGTACCATAATATTGAGAAATAAAAAAACAGATTTGTATGCATTACCTGATTTTGATAAAGAGCTGAGATAGCGCAGTAACTGGCTATGGGCTGAACGACCAAGGGATCGAAGTTCGAATCCTGGTAGGGTCAAGAATTTTCATGTGTCATCCAGACTGGCAAGGGGGCCCACCCAGCCTCCTATCCAGTGGGTACCAGCGGGCTCTTTCCGTGGGGTTAAAGCTGACTGCTCACCTCCAACTAGTGCTGAGGTCAAGAAAATGTGGATATCTACACCACTTCCCCATACACATTCATGGTGCTTAATTAGTTAAGCACAGGGATAACTTGTTTTACCTTCTACACATCCTTTGCAATTCATTATTTGCTGTGAGCCAATTATTCCACTCTTTATAATCTGAGCTACTGACAGCAATGTTAGATAAACCATAAGTAAAATAATCAGAACATAGGAGTCCATAATCATAGGATTTTAACATATTGGCCAAAATAATGCATAACTCAGTTTTTTGGAAAGTTTAAAATGCAGATATTTTTGCATGTCAGTTGTCCAAAGTACATTGCATGGACTATATATACAATAAACAATTATCAACATGTATTCTTTTAAATATATTTTTTTTTTATTTTAGCTTATGTACTACATCTGGGAAAAGAATAAGAATGGATTCTCTCTCGTGTCTCTGCTTAACGTCATCGTCCCCCCCTGAAAGCCTTCTGCTCCAGTCAGTTGTCACTTGTATTTTCATTCACACTTTGCATTTGCAGTTTGCTGAACTACAGCTCAGGCAGTTAATTTCTAACTTCCCACCATAGTGGCCTGAGTTTGATCCTAGGTTAGGTCGCATGGAATTTGTGGTGGACAAAGCAGCCCTGAAGCAGGTTTTCTCTGAGTACTTTGTCATCCCATGCCCATTCTCACTTCAACTGCTTCACATTCATTAATCCTATCATCAACAATATATAGTGTCAGTACAGTGTAATGGAAAGGTAAAGTCATCACTGTACTCAACTACGCCATGAAGGCGTATGAGGGAATGGATGTGTGGATCCACATTTTCTTGACCTTGGCACTAGCTGGAGGTGAGTGGGCAGCTTGAGGCCTGGCTGCTTTACCCCCAGGGAAAAAACCCTGGTACCCACTGGATAGGAGGCTGTGTGGACCCCAAAGCCAGTCTGGATGACAGAGAAGATAAAATTCTCGACCCCACCGGGATTCAAACTCCGACCCCTCAGTCATGCAGCCTGTAGCCAGTCACTATACCAACTGCCCTATCTTGGCTCTGTCATTAAGTAATAAAATTAAAAATTTACCAATGTTGACAGAGGAGAAGCATGCAATGGAGATAGCGTGAGGGAGCAGGCAGCATATTGAAACTCCCATCAGTCATGTTCATCCTTTGCCTGACCAGAGAGAGAGAAAATGTGAATACAATGTGCAGTCACTGTTTTGTAGGCACTTTCTGAGTAAAAGAAATGTGCATGTTATATGGCCCACACTGTGAATATGGATCTGTTGCAAAGCAGTTTCTTATTTGAGAAATTCACAGCGATGATTAGAGTATGTGTTGCCATATTGAGTTAGTGCCCCTGTGCCCCTTTGGTCTGATGTCTTGGGCTCAATTACGTGCAATGCATCGTATCTCTATTCACAACTGATTCACAGTGTAAGTTGTATAACAATGCTAACTGAAGATCATTTCATCATTGAATTACCTAAAGCATCAATCCACAAGGATTAAAACGATGAATTGAAAATATCAAATTTGGATAAATATTTTTATTTGAATGTGTAATATTTTTAATTTCTAGTCAATTTCACTGTATTTTACTGAATAAAGGATATTACAATTTTTAGTGTTTCTTTTTACTATATGGAAGTACATTTTCAGTTCTAGTCAATTTCACTGTATTTTACTGAATAAAGGATATAATTTTTAGTGTTTCTTTTTACTACCTGGAAGTACAAAGTAAATTACAAGAATAAATGAACACTGGAAAAATGTTGTACTATTCTGATTTTTGTATTGTTCGTAAGTAAAGTAAAGCTATCCCTGTAACAGGCCACGAAGACCGATAGGGTTGTGAGACATTGAGGGTCCCACATTATCTAGACAATCGGCTCAAAGATGGCAGTAAGGTTGTCAGCCTTACGTGCCGGCTGTGCTCTACTCCCTGGGAAAATTATTTATTTAATTCCTGGTACTCATTTCTGTTAGGGGCTGAGTGAACCCCAGGGCCATAGTGCAGCTGGAAGGATTAGGTCAATTGAAAAAAATCCAATGACCTCATCGGTATTTGAACCTGCGACCTTCTGAATTGGATGGGGGGGGGGATTGTTCATAAGTGGCCAACAAATTATTTTAGGGATGTGTTATACAAAGAAATTCAAAATATTCAGGTTTATTATCAATAAACTTTAATTTCAAAGTATAACTGCAAATTGGTGTATATCTTGCACATTTTATAGATCTGAAGTACTCACAGATGACAGTATTCTTGTTGCCTTCCGGATTATGACAGTATATAGTCAGTAGGCAATTACAAACATTTTGGAGTAATACACCACTTTCATCTTCTAATCTGAAGATTGGGTGGGTATGTTCTTATGTTAGTAACCATATACATGGTGTCATAAGCCAGAAGACAAGAACATGAACTGGGATAGCTCAGTCTGTGTAGTAACTAGAGTATGGGCTGGACAGCCGAGGAATCGAGTTTTGATTCCTGAGGGGCAAGAGATTTTTCTCTTCTTAATATCTGTACAAGCTCTGGGGTCCCCCCAGCCTCCTGTACAGTGGGTACCAGGGGCTGTTTCCCCAGGGTAAAGTTGCTAGAACATAAAGCTGACATACATATAGGAATTATATCTACCGTCAACACAACAAATACTCAGTTTTAATTTCGATCTTTATTNCCTTCCTCCACACTACATGTTTCGGCCCTAAATGGCCATCATCAGGTGTATATTCTTACGTAGCTGCTACACTGCCCGCAGTTTAAAATTTAAAACACCAGTCTTTTAAATTGTATGTATGTATAAAATCTTTGTTAACCCACACACATCAATTTGATTTCCAAAATTGGCACTTTTTAAAACTTCAATTTCAAATTAAAATGTCTTTAAACTTTCCGTTCTTTTCCAAATTCTAAAAATTAAAATTTCTCGGGGTACTAGCCNTATTTTAAATATTTTTAAAAATACTTTTACTATTTTTTAAATAATATATTCCACACATTATAAATCTTGATATATGGTATACTTTTATATTTATCTTTTATCTTATTTATGTAATTGCTACTTCAATTATAACACCAACTTGAGGCAAAAGTTTTATGTTAGTATATAATATGACGTGTTGCACCGATAAGGATCCATATTGATATTTCAATAACTGTACGTATTCCTGCATATAATTGCCTGATGATGGTCTTATATGACCGAAAGAGTCTTTCTTGAGAAGCCAGTAGTCACTCAGATATTAAAAATATTAACTGACGAATCATTGCTGTATTCGTAATTACCACTGGACCCTATTCTGAGGCAGATGAGTTCAGTCCATACCTTCCCACTATTTAATTTAACCTTCACCATAGGGAAATAGGGAATATAGATCTCTCCCCTTTCTTTGGTGCTGGTGATCAGTTTTTAACTTGAGTTTAATGGTATATGTACATATATTAAAAACAATGTGATGCTCAAGCTGTTGGACCCATGTGCACACCATGACAGTAGTATGACACATGGATGATAAAGGTTACTATGGATTTTAATATCCTCCCATCTATACTTATATATTTTTTTTTAATTCGCTTAGTGGGGTGTGGAGTCCAACTGGGTCCACTTGGCACGGTGGCCACTGATTGGCCTATTGTAGCCTGCCCAGGGTGATTATAATGGAGAATTTGATGGAATGAAGATTGGCAGGGGAAACCGAAGAACTACTTGGAGAAAACCCACCCCCGCGCCACTTTGTCCACCACAAATCCCACTTGACCAGACCCGGGATCGAACCCGGGCCGCCGCAGTGGGAAGCCAGCGACTAACCGCTTGAGCTATGGCGCGGCCCATGTATGCCTGGGTCACCCAAGTAGTATTTTCAGGTTTTGCAACCAAAATGTGTATGTAATTCTTTTCTCTTCCATGTGCACACATGCCCCAATCTATCGCATTCTCCTTGATGTGATATGTACAGATCTTGTACGCATAGATAATGTCTGGTCATGCTTCACTAGCACTTTCACAT